GCTTTATCACACCATATTCACCGAGAAAGGGCGGGCCATTAATGCTATTATCATGTAGCCTATCAAAACTTACACAGTAAAGAGTGACACATTCCTGTATAACACATACAAACTTAAATTATATAACAAACCGTTACAGTCACTCCTCTATCTTCCCATCCGCTGGCCATTGTTCCTGTGCATCTTTCCCCGATTCCAAGGACCCACATATTGAGTCCAAATTGGCCTCAATCAATGCCACTACAATCTTTATATGGTGATTCAATGGGGGTAACCCATCAACATCCCTGTCATCCCATTAATTCACAAGAAAGAGATTCAGAAAATTTCTATATGGTAAATTAACGGGGAAGCACCCCTATTATCCCATTAATTGACCAGAAAGACATTCGGACGCAGAGGAGACTGATGAATGCCATCACACTGCAGAGATGGACACCGGCAAGGCAGTGATATGTGCCACTTAAAGGCATTCAGTACAGTTTTTAGGGCTTTGAAACCCGATTTTCCAGAGCCAATATTTTAGTCACTTATCTACATACTGAGTTGAAACCACACGTTCCCAATGTATATTGACCCTTATGGAGCAAAAATTCCCAAAAATTCCGACGGAAAATGGTTACTGGAAGGGCCCTGGGCTGATTTCTAAGGTAACACCCAAAAAATAAAGGACTCATCTTGGGACTTGTTCCTGTAGTTCTGTAACCAAAGTATGAAATGCTGACTCAAATGTGCTAATGTGAAGCAGCATGTGCCAATATCACAAAGATTGCATCATTCAAAATATTTCCCGTTCTGCTGCCCTGAAATCGCATTGGATGCTGTTTAATGTTGTTGTTCTTCCTTCCACAGGGTGGACTGGGTTCTGCCGGCATCGCTTTCCTGCTTGCACGCCCGCAAAAGGGACAGTGGAACGATGACCAGTGCAACCGTCCCTACCCCTTCATCTGCAAGCGTCCAAAATGACAATACTTCATTATTACCGTTGTTTCCAAACAAGACAGGTGAAACTGGACAAACTAGAAAGACCAACATTTGCCTAGGATCAAATACAACATATTTCACTCCATCCCCCTTCCCATCCCAGAATGGATTATGACAAGTGTGTGAATAAGGACATGTGGGCATGTGTTCTAGGCACTTGCATGCTTAATTTCATGCTCTCAACACAAGGGCATCATTTCTCTCAAAGTAGCTCAAAAGACCCGAAATACACAATTTTTCAGCTGAGTATGTTAAATGTGTGATTTCTGTAGGCATATGTCCATGATCCAACGTAGCCTTATACCGAATTTTAAGTCATTTGATTTAAATACCAGGACACACGAGCAAAAAAACATTTTAGACGACTTTTTGGTCTAAAACTAGCCCAAAGGCCCATGTCATATGGTTTTCTAAGTACAGTATGTCAGAGGAATGAATGAAAGTCTTTGGGCGTATCTCCAAGGCACCCACACTGTTACTAAATGACATTTGGTTCTAATGTCAGGGTAGTATTGCACCCTTTTTGTTCTTGTCTAGTGGATTTTGCATTAGGAATTGTGACGTGAACAGGCATTTTTATTTAATGATACAGTGTCTGTAATACAAAATATAACAGATTCTTTACTGACACAATAAAAAGTACAGGGACTTTTGTATGGTCTTCTACAACTAAAGTTAATGCATGTATGGATAACGTCATCTTACGTACAGAATACATGTATGCGGCAAATTACGTACAGAATATATACCAGTGGTACATTTGTAACAATAAAGGTTTAACTATTCCCTAACATGTAGTCTCTAAGATTGAAACATTCTTTATTTTCCTATGTGAACACTGTATTGGTTATCTCACCTTAGAATGTAATTAAATTTATCTATAGGATCTAACGTATCAAAATCAATTGAACAAGTGGAAAGAAAGGTGAACAGCAATAAGCACTTATCATTGTATAGTGTACAATCCATTATAAAATTGTGCTCATTTTCAATCATGTTTGGACAAAATGGACAACATTTGGTCGTTTGGTATTTTCTTGTATCGACCCATTTCTATGTTTAATTTATGACAACTAATTATGTGCTTTATTAATTCTTAATTTTGTGATCGTTTTTCGGATATCTAGATTGTGTATACTTGAGAGGTATTGTTTTTGTCCATATTTTTCCTTTAAGGCGCTATGAACAGAAAGTTTTTGCGTTGTTACCAATGGAATCACACCAAATATAACTTTAATTAAATTAAATTAACGTTATTATTAACAATTAAATGTTGTATTGTTATAGGTTTGGTCTGTGGCAAAATATTTCAAACTCTTCCTCACTGAAATTCTGAAGATAAGCAACGATTGGTCCTGCTAATTGGTCAGTAGTCTTGTGGTAGTCTAGCCTGGGTACCATCCGGATTTTCGCTACGCAACGCTCGAAAAAATCACGCGTTGCGTAGCAAAAATCCGGATGGTACCCAGGCTAGTGGTAGTCTGTAATTACGCCAGAAAGCAGTTACTCTAGCAACTGGATATGATTTTGGAAACGGACGTAACTGCTTTTTGGCGTATCGTATTACCTGGCCGTCTAACCTTCATCGACGTAGTCTGTAATTAGCCTGGGTACCATCCGGATTTTCGCTACGCAACGCTCGGAAAAGATTTTTTCGAGCGTTGCGTAGCGAAAATCCGGATTGTACCCAGGCTAGTCTGTAATTACATTTTACGCATTCATTGTGTGCGATAGGGCGCAATAAAAACAAGATTCCGGTTACATTATCAAATTTTGACATCATAAACCCTGTTAAACAAGAAAAGAAAAGAATAGTATACTGTGCTAGGTTTACTGCCAATTATTACAGCGTCCATTTGTTACTGAAAAATAAAAGTTTTCAATCATTGTACAAATAGTTTTGATTTAGTGAACATCACGTATAAAAGTAATGAAATACATCACTGCATCAAAGTAAAAGACAAAAAATAAATCATAGCGTTGTCTTGTCTCCTCTCTTCATAGTTATCTCCCATCCACGTTCCAGCATGGCGCAACAGACATCTGCCTATTCATTACATCTTGAAATTTCTTGATTATTTTCCAAATTCAGGCGAAAATAAATGCGCGCGTTGATTTCATCCATGAAAATTACATGTGGCCTTACATATTTGAATACTAGTACTTACAATGCCATGACAAAATATCAGCACGGCGAAAGCGACAAGTATATTTACAAAAGACATAAAAAAATTCATCAAAACTATTTCTACATATGGAATCATTTGATAAAACGACTTCTTTGCGCTATTGGAACACTTTTGATGCTTTCTTTAGATGTACTTGTAGTTTTCCCCGATGCAGGTTCTACGTTATTCGCTGGAGGGCGCTGCTTCTTGGAGCAAAATCTAACTGCCCAGTTTGAGCCCAGGTACTCTGCAACCTCCAGACCGTTATGACCCTGGCGCCTATAAACAAGCCCGTCATGCCACCCATGTTACCTGGGCAATACAACAAGAAACAAACAAATAAATACTATTACTGCTTGATAATCGTGATTCTAATATGTTGATTAAGAAGAAGTCGAACCCCATAATAGCTAGCGTAGTAGTAGAAGTAGAAGTTTTTCCAGACAGTTGTTACCTGTCTCCTGTTACTGTATTGCAATGAGTATTATACTTGATTGTACAAGCAATTAGCCTTCGGGCATGATTTTGCAAATAAAGTTTCTATATTATATGTTTATATTTAATGCAACTTCCAGCATTGTTTATTCATATACATGTATATGATGACCAGTGGCCCCAACGCTTTTAAAACTGCAACTTGCTACATAATGTAATCAACCCAACACTACATGCAGGGGTGCCTGGTACAGCACTAGTTACCATGGTGACAGACGTCTGGTAAAGGTCTTTGACCATGTGTTTGGAGAAGAAGAAAAAATAGAGCAAAAAGAGTTTTTCTTCTCATCTTCCAAAGGATACTTTGCCGAAAAAAGACACACCATTAACAGAGCTTGAAATTCATTTTTTGGGAATAGGTGCACTGGTGCACCCAGCCTAAAAAATTAGGTGCACAAGAAATTGTCAGCAAAAACTAATTCTATGTTTCCTTCTTAAGTACTACAACAATGATTATATTATTTTTCTGACACTTGGAGGGTTAAGAATATACTGTATACATTTAACAGCTTTACATAAGGTAAACATTCGCTGTTGTCAATTTTTAATATACGATAGTGTAATTACAGTAACGGACTGGTGTGAATTTTTATGACTAAATACCTCTCTTCATTGGTTTATAGGCCTCGTAAGCAGCCAATTTACTAGCTGTGTGCACGTCAAGTGGTAGCCTGGTGGCCAGTCTATCGTGGTTGGGCCGGGTTCTCTTCGGGGCTGCAGGAGCTCTTCCCCGCCAGGCTCAGCTAGGTTCCCCGATAGGTTTTGCACGACGGGATCCGGAGTTAAATTAACCCCACCACGATCTAAAATCAACCCCTGGCGTCCAAAACTCGTGCCGGGCGGTCTGTTGAGCTGGACGGGGGAAAACTATCAGAGCCCCGAAGACAGCCTGCCCCAACCACGATAGACTGGATTAACCAGGCTAGTCAAGTGGCCACAGTAAAGTTTATATGGCGTTTACCAGTGTTTATTCGCTTGAAAGTCATTGCCACTTTAGTGACTATGCACTGAGGTTTAAGACGGATACGGATAGAGTTGTCCATTTCCATTGAAATATAGTTTTCAAGCTATGTACAACAGTGGGGTATCTGGCTAACTTGGAACCAAACCTTGCCCTAGCTGGCTCCTTGGCACGCAAATCATAATCACAGCTAGCCCTATGTACATAATATTATTTCATCCAGCGAAAATACCACACGACCTTTTCCTTGTGAGAGCCACTGGAGTTTCAACAAATATAGCGCTGTTATTGACCGCATGTATTTACTTAGACTCAAGTGTGCCAATGTTTTTCGACTAAGTAAACGCTATGTAACAAAGCCCCACGGACAGACCAATGTTGAAGTATGTTACTGAAAGTTACTCTCCCAGACTCCGGGAGGCCAGAAACTTGACAAACAAGACAGGAAAAGCACCCGTATATTTGTCCCAGGTCGCTTCGGGTCGAAGTGTCTTGAGAATTGAAGGATGTGTCCTTGAAGTAAGCCGTGTTGTGTGTTTCTTGGCTCAGGTGTCAAAGGTGCTACCCGAACAAAGGGTCCGAGGGGGTGTGTGTGACCCTCATTTGCATAGCGTCCATAGCGACCCCGCCACGTTCCTAGCAACCACAGAGAACAATATGGCGGCCATAGTAGGTTAGTCACAGAACTTGGTTCAAAAGATTTGAGCAGTAAATATGCAGTCTTCCAGGGACAAGCCGGTCTTGCAGCCATGACGGAGGATGAGCAGTTCCACTTCACGTTTTCTCCTAAGATTAACGAAGCGAGCAAGGTTCTCGCGGAGCAGAAGAGGGCGCGAGAGAGACTCGCTGTTATCACGCGCATGGAGACCATGATGGCCGAAGAAAGACAGAAGCAACAACAACAACAACCGGACCAGCAACCCCAGGAAACTAAAGATGACAGCGGGATTCCTCAGCCCACAGGTAGCACGTCTCTCCCTCAAGGCGCCGCTACGTCTAAGCCACCCGTCAAGACTTTTCAGAGGTACAGTTTCGAGAGCGAGCTCACCTTCGCACCCAGACTCAACGCCACGAGTATGAGATTAGCGCGCGAGCGGGAGAGACAGGGAAACGTGGTGGCTTCTTCCGCGGCAAAACAGGCGTCAGAAGAGGAGTACATGTTCACCTTCCAACCCAGGGTCAGCTCCAGTAGTCGGAGAATCGCACAGAACCTCGGCACCACGTTCATGGCGCGGCAACAGATGCATTTAGAAAGGCAACGCAAATTGGTAAGTCTTAAAAAGGTTTTAAGCTTTAGCTAAGGAATGAATATCAACAAATGTAAACACACACATTCGACGTGTTTTAACGCTTTAGGAAAGGAGTATCTAATTATTATCATTATTTCGTATATATGGTTTTGATCTGAAAGGTGTCTATCAATGACAGTCAATTTACGTTGTACTCAAATTAGTCTATAAAAATGAAAGCAGTGCCAACTCAATTTGTGCAACAAAATAATGGAGTAGCGCCTTTAAATCCCATTTTGTTTCTTCACTACCAGTCTTTCCAGTCCTCCGCTATTTGCCTAAGTCCCATTTTAGTAGGCTTGATGTATACACTGGTTTTAGAGAATCTAGGTCACCCCTGAAGGCAAAATCTCCCTGAGCTCTTCTATAGGGCGTTGTCACTTTCTCAGCTTGACGTCTCAATTGAATTACTTCATTTGAATAGAAGGGCTTCACCTTGAATTATGGCTAATAATAAAAGTGTTTTAGTGTTAAATGAAATATTTACTAAATTCAATTTGGTAATTTGCTTCTATGAGTTCAGAGGTAACTGAAAAAAGGGAAAATTTCTAGGTTAACACAAGAGAAATGGTGTTTTTTTTTTCATTTATAGCATACTGAGATCACATATTATCTTTATGTTGAAACCTTACTAAAATGCACTGGTTCTTCATGCCTCATTTTGATGATATTTTGTAAGAAATGATCTTAGTATTCTTCTAATTCAAGTAATGGAATTTTAAGAACCGTCTCTGGTCCACCCATAAATGACTGATTATGATAAAAGGCCAGAATTAATTTTCATATTTGTGAGAGGGAAAACATATTCTTGTCATCTTGTGTTCAGCGCAAGGCATACTGTAGGACTACTTGGCAGGTAAGACTTAAGTCATATTTAGCTAGAGAGAAAAATTGGGTTGGCTCCCAAAGGACATTACTATGCACCAGGTGACAGTATTCAAGGAAAATTGTTGCAAAATAAGGTTTAAAAAAAGCTGAATGTGAGCCCCCTGAAAATTATGACTTCGTGTAATGATCATTTTTTTTCAAATATGCGAGCAAAGTGCTTATTTAATGAGCCATAATTATTATTCTACTGTAAGAATATGTGCAAGCACATATCTCATTAGATGAATTTATGGCACGTACTCATTATATTTTTTATATCAGAAAATAACTGGCATTTATCATGTTAGACATTATAGAGATTTGTGATGTTAGAATTTCACCTTTAATGATTATACCATGTACCGTTGTTACAACCTGAAGAATATTCCCTACAAATGATTTGTTTTATTCATTCCATTACTACAGTACTATGTTTATCTGCTGGGACAGTGCTCACGTAAAACATGAATATTGTATAATAACAGGTTTTATTTGCTATTCGATCAGGTTGTAGGGAGCGTTTTTAATTCCCGTGTGTGTCTCACAAATCTGAGCTGTGATGTTATTAGCCTTGCAGCATCCATCTTCGTGTAGTGGCGGTGTTACGACTAATTGGATTTGACGCGTTTTATCGTTGTCTCGTCCCCACAGCTGGAGCAGGGGCAGCTCCCGTCCTTCAAAGAGCCGATGCAGTCGCGACCCAAGAGACTACGCCATCACAAGGTTCGCCATACATTTATGCATGATTTGTTGTGGCAGCGCTCTTGTTATTACCGCAATCATGTAGCCGGGGTTAGATCGCGCTCGGGGAAAAGCGTTACTCTCTGAATAATTGAAGAAAACACTGATTTCAAACAGTATCAATCATAATCATAATAACATTACCTACCAAGGACAGTAGGCGGGTGGATTCTTAAAAGTCAAACATTATATTAAGCACTGATTCAAAATTGTTTTTTTTTTCTTTATTCACTGCATACACTATTAGTATTACAAAACTGTAGTTTATATTCGCAGTTTTATATTCACAGTTTTTGCGGTCACTTCTGTTCTGCGAATTTATAATTACTGACTTTCTTTCTTCTGAACCTGCCACCACTGTGAACATATTGTTCCATGAACATGTCCATTTTTCTTGGACTGCAAAATTTTGCTACTGCAAATATAAAGGGATTTACAGTACCCAGAGTTCTTAATTACCAGTCTACTGCTGCCAACTACATTTGTAGAAATTGTTGAAATTAAAGAAAGCCACTAAGTTGTGATAATAGCATTTTGTGAATCAGTATATATACTCACATAAGATGTTGTATACCTGACTACAAGGTCATTTTGACAGGCCACCGTATTAAGGGTGATTTATTAACTGTTACGTTTTCCACTACCATAACAACCAAAGTTTGCCCAAGCAGCACTTGTTAATTTGTCTCAATTATCCTGGACAATGAGGGTATTGAAACGTCAAGAGGAACATACCATATTAAATATCCAGGTGTGAAACACCTGTGCGTATATTAAAAAAGGTTACGTCTAAGTCTGTTCAAGCTTCTTTTTGTCATAATGGTGTCTTGAAGAGTGTATTGAAGCTTTGAACAGCTGAGAACTTCCATAATCACTCGGCTTATTGTGGCTGTAGACGCACTTTTGTTCCCTTCTTTAGGCCTCACCAATTTAATTTGTTGTTTCTTGGATTCGCCCTGTCCATTTTTTCCTACTTTGCAAAAAAAAAGACATATTTTGGCCCCAGTGGTTGAAGAAAGTCCTTTTCTTCCTAGTTGTTAAAGTGTTTCAATGTAATTAATACAATGCAACTTTATTTCATTAAAAGTTCAAAATCTATTGTTTTAATCATACCCCAGCCTGGTATGTTGACTTATGGCTCATATCATAACATTTCCGGCTATCATGGGGTGCCTTGGCCTGTTTTTTTTTGCCCTGTCGCTTCATATTTTTTGTGGAAAAATCCGAGAAACAACAAATTAAATTGGTGTGGTCTTAAGTTGGAGCCTGTTACACAAAGAATAAGTCCATGAATAGGTGTTGATGTCGTTCTTCACAGTTGCCCGGGGAGGCCAAAGCCAACCTTCCGTCTCTTCCCGGTAACACCAGCGGGGAGGAGGGGGGGCAACAGGACTCCTCTTCTGACGGAGGTGAGTTCTAAATGGGCTAAACCATTTTTAAACCTTTTAGAGGTGGGGATGCTGCTTAACATGCTTGGGTTGCGTAGAGATTTTAGTATGGATAGTATTACACAACTAGCATTGTGTTAACTTAAAAAAACTTTAAAAATTATCAATAATGTGCAAAAAATTATCAACATTGTAAAATATTAGCAATTTTGTTGATTATTCATTTTACCAGGTAAAAAGCAGCAACGTTGGCTTTTTGTCAATCAATATTTGAGGATAACTTTCTTCCGGATTAACTATTATATTTTCTGAAAGCAAAGTAAAATTTTCTTCACCATGTAGATCATTGCTGTACTTAGCTTGTTGGAGCAAATGTATAATAAATGTCATTCATTCATTCATTGCCTTTAATACTTTTAAAAACCATTATGTACACTCAGGAAGCCAGTGCAAATACTCTTCCCTGACAGTGTTCTTTTTCCCAAAGTACAGTAACTGTTGTATTCATTCCAGAGCAAATGTAGTGGAAATGTACTGCTCCAAGTTGACAAAATACAGAAACGTAATGCTCAGACATCTGCCCAGGTTTCAGTGGGAAGTTAAGTTGTTCTGAACCCGTGTCCATGATGTTTTCATAACACAGTATAGGTCATGCTTCCTTGGCTCATAATGGTAGGGGGTGAGTCATTGTAGGATCACATGTACTGGCCTTTCATTACCAATCTAGTTCAGTTTAAACAAGGGGAAAGACCATTCTAGTCTTAGGCCTCACCAATTTAATTTGTTGGTTCTAGGATTTTTTCAGAAAAATATCAGGAACAAGATGAAAAATTGAAAATAAATACAGGCCTAGGCATCTTATGATAGCTACAATAGGAACCATGAAGTCAACATGCCAGGCTGGTTTATGATTCAAACAATGAATTTTGAACTTTTAATCAAAGCACTGCATTGATAGATGAAAAAACTGTAAATTTAGTAAAACAAGGGCCTTATTCAACTGTTTAGGACAAAATATTATGCATTTTGGAAACCTTTCTTTCGCAGTTCAGAAAAAAGGAAGCCGGTGAATTCAAGAACCAACTAATTACATTGGTGTGGCCTAGGTAAAAATGTGTAAAAATTCTGTAAGAATTTGTGACTGATTATTAGAGGTTGCTGAAAAATGTAACCAAAGGTTTTGTGTTTACTGGAAATTGTAATGAAAAGGAAAGAAATGTTCTGTAATTCCTTCAAATTGCCTTAATTCACGTCACTATTCTACTTCGAATCCTACAACTTTTTCTGGCCTTGTATATCATTTTGACATGACCTTTCCCCTTTGACCCAGGTTCGGACAGTGGTCTGACCCCTCGTAAGCGGCCAACGAGAGGCGGAGAGGTCAGCAAGTCACACCCCGTACCTTCACTGGGCAGCAAACTTGGTGCCTCAGCAAACGGTGAGATATGTTATGAAGATGTATTTGCTTTGCTAACATATAGTTTAGATTATTGTAATTTTAAATGACACCGTGGATATTCAATGTCTTAAGAATAGACCACTGCCCACTGTTGTCAAGAGCAACACAATTCAGGCAAATGTCTGTTTTAATAAAGATTGAATTGAAAAAAAATATGTAAGACATCTGTGAATCTACCATGACATACATGTAATAACTAACTTGCCTCATCTTTGAATGAATGTACACACTGGACGTTCATGACATGTGCAATGGACCTATACCATTATTAGGTCACAGTTTGTTTACCTGTTCTAAAGAACATTCTAGAACGGTCAGTTAAAGAATCAAGATCATTTCAAAGTTTTCAAAGTAAGGTATGTCTGATTTTTGCTGCGTCTAGTTGTGTTGACACAGCATTACATGCCGCATGGGTGATTTAGTTGTGACATTAGACGAAAGTAGTACTGTATCATAAGCCTTATATAAGGCTAACGCTACACAAACACACACCGCGCTATGCACCCCTGTACAATATAGACGTGGATTGACCGGCATTCATTGCGGTTAACAAACTGTGACTACCAATAATGGTATAGGTCCATTGTTCTAGAACAATACTAGATGAAATCATACCATAGGTCAATTAAGGTCAACTGAGGTCAATTAAGTGCAGTAGTAAACCAGCATATCGGCAGATGTGTACTGCACCTGCGCGAAACCCCCATTTTTCATGGTTTTCCGACTGTTCGTTCAATTTTTGGTCATCGTTGCATCAGAATTTTGCCTTTTTTCCTTTATTTCCAATATTTTTTCCGAAATAACATTCTCAAACTACAGACAGAGTGTTAACCTTAAATTATATACGCGAATACATGTACAACCTTATATGAGACGTTCTGCCAAAGTGCTAAAAAAGTATGCACAATACATTTAGTCGTTTCTTGCAGGTGCAGTACCTGAGGAAGGTGACAGACGGTCACCGAAACTTTGGCTGAATAAACCTCTTTGTTGTGTAAAATGAGTTTCTATTCAATATATCAGACAATAAGTATCTGGAAGAAACTATGTAAATCTATTGCTTGTCTGTTCTTAATGTGAATACCCAGAAGGAGAAATTGTTCTTGCTATAAAGTAGCTGCTCATAAGATGTTGGAGTTGCATGACTAAAATATGTTAAAATTTTGTCATTTTAGATCTCCCATATATTCATTTTTTGTATTTTTCTGATTCTTCAAGAAAATGTGCCTACTTTTAGTTTGTTTACATTGTATGTCAGATTCTGATAATAAAAGTCAATATACATGACATGTATCAATGTACTCTATCTCATATATAGAGTGCACTTTTTACAGAAAAGCACTTAATGGGGGCTTTCTAGAACACTTTTGCTAAAAAGCACTGTATGCGGGTTTCAAGAACACTTTTACTGGGAACATGAAGTCATAGATTGCTAATGGCCGTGTGTCAACAATAAGCTTTCTGTTGTTGCCATTGATAGTAACATCTTGTGACTGTGTCTATGTTTATGACCTAGGACTACATGGTTCCAGAAGGAAAACCTTGCCTCCCAAATATCTGCCTGGCCTCCCAGGTTGTTGTTTTGAATAATTTTACATTTGGTGATGGCATTCTTGTTGTCGGTGTTGGTCTGTGGTGTATCTGTTGGGTCCGTGTTGTGATTCGCCTGAATCAAAGGGTGACTATCCAGGTGTGCTGAAGAAGGGTGATGGAGAATTTAACCTTTCCAGAGACATCTGAATGTGACAAATTCCAGCTCTGATTATCCTTTACATTGAAGCATTTAAAGTGGGAAAATTTTGTACTGGACCAGGGCTCTAGCAAGCACCTGTTTTTCTGTCAATTGCAGGAACCTTGAGGCATACGATAGAAAAATTTTCAAAGTTTAACCAATCTGTCAACTTTGAGGGACAAAATTGAAAAAAAAATCTTGGGTAAAAAAATATTAAAAAACATCCAAATGACCACCATCAACCACTCTCATTCCCGTGATTTGCCTCTCAAAATGTGGGGAAAAAAATGGAGCTGACTAGAGCCCTGCTATACTGGACAGACTTTTGAAAAATAAGCAGATATATTTCTGCCCTGTCCATTCTAGAACACATTAATACAATAATGTACATGTATGTTCATCAATGTTTCGGTTTGAAATTAGGATCAAGTTCTATGTTAAATGTTGTCCTCCTTTTCCATCTTTCGCTCTCATTTGTTAAAAATTTTAAATTTATGACATATTTGTTAATGCATGAACATGGTCTTTCACAGTCTAGTATGTGACTGTTTAACACTGTGGCATGAAAAATAAAGAACAAAAAGAGACATTGTGCCTTGCACAAACTAATGCATGTTTTTGTGTTGTGCAAACAATAACGAAAATGAAGAAACATGTTTTAGAATACATGTATCACTGTTCTCTTTTGTAACATTCAATATTGTGATTTTCCAGATATCAACAATCCCCCAGCCACAGCCCCTCCCTCTCACCAGCGCTCACAGACACTACCTCCCACCACCGCATCAACCTCCCCTCGACGCAGGGTCAACACAGCAAAAATCTACGCCAACGTAACACGGGTCAAAAATGCCAAGCTTGCAGCTGAAAGGGCTATGAGGGTAATTAGTGGTCAATTTTATCAGAGATTTCTAGCTACAGATTTCCTATTGTAGAGTGGAACTCTCTGTCACCAAGTACAGTAGGGGCATCACCACTAGATAGCTTTGAACAATGTTTAGAGTTAGATGTCTAAGGGCTAGGTGAAACACGTGGTTGAGTGTAATGTAGCCAGCTGCTGCTGTGCCACGTGCCTGCGAAACGGGTGTATTATGCCAAGGGGCAGTTATTCCGGTTATTGATAGATACAGATAATAGTATGTGATATGGCAAACTTTGGCTGCAACAAAATTTGAGAATCGTTGATCTTTCTCAGGTCTTGGAATTTATTTAGGAACATAACTGCTGATTTCATTTTTCAGGATTGCATTATACAAACAACCCAGTCTATTTCAGTTAATATTCAATACATAATTATCTAAATTGTAATAATTTTTATTTTCTAAATGCGTCTAACCCTCAGAAGACAGGGAACAGCTGATACTAAACCGGATAGTGAGTGTGTGTGTTGTGAGCATTGTTGAAATTGAGAATATGGCTGGTTTGTTTTTCCACAGATGAAAAGAGTATTTACCATTCATGGTCCCTACCCATTTGTGAGGAAGGCTCTGAGGGAAAGAGGCTGGGTGGAACGGTTTATCAAACCTGAACTGAAGAAAAGGGAACGTTCAAGCAAAGAGGAGGATAGCGATGATGATGATGATGGAGGTAAGGTGCTTTCTTTAACTTTATGAAAACATGACTTCAGTGGTTAGTGACCCTGCTTCTGGACCAAGAAGTTGGGAGTTCGAATCCTGCCCATTGTTGTTCACCCGACATGCACTGAAAAGGGTCTCAGTCCCTAGGACGTAATATTCAGCCATGGTCCACTGCTCATTGTGCTTGTCAAAAAGAGCTAGGGGAATTTCCCAGGTACAATGAACCTGTAAATACTGTACATAGTGTAGGTTCTTCTTCTGTTATGACCAAGGACTGGATCGAGATCACTTTCCTTTCCTTTCCTTTTCTTTCCTTTAGTACACAACCAAAAGAAACACGTGTTTGCTGTTCAATGTTGGCAGCTCTTGTGTTAATGCACAAATGTTAATTGAGAAAAGACTAGCCCAGCCAAGATAGGTTATCTTAAGCTTTGAACGGAAAGCAACCAGAAATTCAGCACTGTGGACAGCAATCAACCTAACCCTCTCAATTCTTGGCATTTTTGTACAACAACCAGCTATTACTGTAATTCCTGATTTTTTGTAGTACTTTTATGTTCGTGGTTTTCATGGTCACTTCAGAATCTGTACCAGGAACTTATCATTAACAAATAATTTGCAGACTTTCTTTTTTCTGTACCTGCTGCCACTGTGAACGTAGTTCCATGAAGATGTACACTTTTCTCAGACTGCAAACTTTTGCTACCTCAAACATCAGTATGTAGTGACTTGCACTTCCCTGAAGTGAACATTACTGAAACAAGACAACTGTCATCTTGCCACAGATAATGGGAACAGCAGTGACAGCGATGATGACGGCGTGTGTGACGCTGTTTGCCAGGACAGCACGACGGAGGTGGACAGCGGAGACGGCGACAGCGAAAACGTGTATGGCATCATGGTGGGTAACGAAGAGATGCTCGTGGTACGTGTGTTGCCTTATTTTTCTTTCGCTTCGTTTGTTTTCAAAGTTGCATGAAGAGGTGGCACGTGTTGTAAGTATGATAACAGCACCGAGGATTAAATACTGGCTCTGAAAATGGCTTCTCTATGAAGAACTCGCTGTTACATGCAAATTCAAAATACCAAAAATTGTACGATTCTTAGTGGCAAATTTGCAGACACCAAATCGGTCTGTGTCCTCATCAGTGTTTGGACACAGTATCAACGATTAGCCAAAAGGCCTGGTGGGCGTCACTTCACCATACAGGGAGAGAAGTCGTGCAAAGTACCTAAATTCCCAAGGGCTTGTCAGGGATTCAAACCTAGGATCTCTTGGTTCCGGGTCAAACGCTCTGACCATTACCCTATGCGATGCCGCACTCAAAATGTAAGGGCACGAGAGTTCTTCAAAGGGGACATGTTTTGAGAGCTAGGGTAATGCATGCTTCACTATCTGTTGCACTATACTATACTATGCTGCCTTAAATAATATATGCTAACTTCAATACATAAAGCACTTTCATAGTCTTTTTAATATTAGTTTGCATTTGCATAATATGCCAAGCATTGTGTGTGTTAACTATTTTGTGTTGCATGTTCTAACAATAGATTTTCTTGCAGTATAAGTTGCATTATTTTATGTTGCCATGTCAATCATATCTTTTTCTTTTTGTACATCAATGCCTAACACGTTGCCTGCCCTGCTACATGTATGTCTTGGCTATGCTTCTCTACTGTACAAGAACTTTTCAAAATCTTGCGAAATACGGGGCATCTTTGCAAATTAGGAGGGTCTTGGATCTGGATGAAAACAAAAATGACAATGAAATTCAGAGACCTTTTCACATTTGACAGTCTTTGATACTGTAAAAGATATCAAATTCTTCCCTAAAAACAAATCTTCCAGGTTCGTTTTTCGACAATTGCAGGAACTTTGCTGCATATGAATTCAATTTAAAAAATTCTAAACAAATCCGTCAACCTTGACATTCATAATTGACAAAAATTACGAAAATGGGAAACAAACATACCTAAAAGCATCCAAAGGACCACCACCACCAACTCTCAACCCCGTGACTTGTTTCTCAAAATTAGAAGTTGTGTTTTTAAAGGCTTGAAAATTTGGCCCGGACTCCCCTAGACTGCGAGCACTCTCCCCCCAGGTCTGATCATGAACCTGGGCTGACAGAAAGAAATTTTGAGCTGACTAGAGCCCTGCTATAGTGTTATGTGTTTTTTTAGTAACCATGGTTGTTTTCTGTTACAGTCACGGATGTTGCGGAACGCTAACCCCTCCTTCATCTGGACCTGTCGGGCGAACACATTTGACAGCAGGATGCTGAGAAAGGACCAGATCTACAATCATTTTACAAAAGCCAACTTCACCACCAAGGTCTTGTCTGCATTCTCATTTGATATACATCACATGTATAATTTTTATAAGTTTACCTTCACAGAAGGAAGTCATATTGGTTTTACTCAGTTTCTTCTTCGTCTTTTTGAAACAAATAAGGTCAATGACCTTGACCAGACAGCTATCACCATGGTAACTGGTGCTGTAGCAGACACCCTGTTGTGTTAGATTACATTATGTTACAAGTAAGAGGGGCTGGTCCCCATATAATGTGAAATGTTTTAGTAAGAATAAACAGTCTAGCAGTAGGTTGTTGGGCTTCACCATTTGAAGAATAATTTGTCTTAATATGTTTAACTTGAGGTACTTTTGGAGAACCCAAGTGCTCAAAATAGATTTGTATGAGTTTTGCTTCAAGTTGGTTGCAGTTGTTTCACATCAAGACAAAACTTGTGGTTTTAGCTCCAAAAATATATTTTCCTTAGGTTGATAGAATATAGGGATTTTCTTTGTACACAACTGGTAATGTATCTCACCTGCTTACAATGTTTAACGAAACGGGATGAGGGGGGATACAAACTTAGCCATGTTTTGGATTGTGTTCTTGCCGCAAAAGTGCCACCTACATTGGCGACATACAAGCATTATGTTAGACACATACCAACTAGTAACTTTATTATTTGCCATACATTGTACCCGTGACAATCGTTGTGCAATAAACTTTGACTTGACTTGACTTGACTATTGTATGGTGGCGAGAAGCAGAACTCCAGTCAGAAGCTCTGAGGAAGGTGTCTTATATGCATGGAAACATACTCTAGTAGGTGAAATACAATACTTGTTGTGTAAGACAAAAATCCCTATATTCTACATGTATATAGTGGTTTTAGCATTCAAAAGCTTTCAGTTCTAAATTTGCTGCAAATTTTTTTCCAGGTGGGGCTGTGCATGAACCTACGGCAGCTACCCTGGTATGAAGACACAGATGCCAACTGGTTTTACCCTCGCTGCTACCGTCTAAGTGTCGATGAAGAAAAATTTGATTTTATTGGTAAGTACTTGACTTTTGTAAGTCCATGCAGGTTTGAAGATTTTCTCACATGATGTTTGGAAAGGGATGGAAAAACTCAACTAGGATTTAAACAGTAAGAAAATAGAGTTCCACGACATCCTATCTTTGCCAAATAATAAATTTTATGACCATTGAATTATAAATGTTTTTCATTAATCAATATGCAAATAAGATCATCATTGGCATATTTTTTTTCATCTAATTATGTCAAGTATCACTTAAGCTACCTACAGACCAAAAATCACAATGTTCCTGCAATACGTTCAATGAGTTATCTTCCTTGAAACATTTTTTCAACAAATGCCCCTGCAGTTCCGGAACAAGCTAGATTTTGTGAATGTAGCCTGTCCAGATCATAAGATATCAAAACCGGAAGTTCCATAACAAGCTGACAGGGGGCGCAAAATTTAGTCATTTTGAGGTCTCTTTAAGACTTACCTATCCAGCAGATATCAACTTGAAGATAATTCATTCGAGTTATCGTGTTTAGAGACAGACAGACACACACACATACACGGATGCCACCAATGGACCTATCATATTACGTCACAGTTTGTTTACCGCAATGAATGCCGGTCAATCGATGTTTATATTGTACAGGGGTGCGTAGCATGGTGTGTGTTTGTGTAGCGTTAGCCTTAATATAAGGCTTTTAATACAGTACTACTTTCGTCTAATGTCACAACTAAATCACCCATTACGGCATGTAATGCTGTGTCAACAAAACTAGACGCAGCAAAAATCAAACATACCCGACTTTAAAAACTTTGAAATGATCTTTATTCTTTAACTGACCGTTCTAGAATGTTCTTTAGAACAGGTAACAAACTGTGACGTAATAATGTGATAGGTCCATTAACCTGCTTGGCAAAGGTAACATAAAAATGTTTTTTTCATGACAGATGACTATAGACTGACGGCAGCAGCCAGTGTGCTGAAGGTCACCCTCCAACAGCTCAGACCTGAGGTCGACACTCCCAGCCAATCAGACGAGGAGGAGGATGATGATGATGAAGAGGAGGATGGGGAGGAGGAGGAGGAGACAGTACCGTCAGATGTGGACACACCGCGCAGTACCAACAGCCAGAAAACCAACACTACAACAACTACCTGCAGTCCCAGAGGTTTGTCTGCATTACACTCACATGCACCTGCAGTTGTTGTGAGATGTACAGTCAAACTTGCCCAAGCAACCACCTCATGATTTGACAGCATGACAGTGTTCGTGCAATGTAAAATGATGTCGACTTGGTCACTTTGGGTGTATGGGGCAGTCTATTCTAAAATAGGTGGAAGTTTTACTGCAGTTTTCTAACCATTTTTTCTCAGTCCCCGGGGTGGTCTTAGACACATTTGACTGTACACTGATTTGATATCAACTGTCCCAATTGCTAAGACTAAGAAATTCATAATGGTTTAGACTTTATTGTTCTAGAAAGCCATTGTTATAGTAATTGTATTAAATGTTCTGGAAGGTCATTAAAAATTTGTTGTAACATCATAGAACGTATTTCAGAAGAATGATATAACAATTCAATTATCAAATAAATAATATTTGTGTAAACTTTTGTTCCAGCACAAAAAGTAATTTAATGCTCTCACCTATAGCTAGAGCTTTTGACCAATCATTCTGGTCTTCTTCAATAGACTGACCCAGTGAGAATTTCGCCAGATACATGCAATATGCTTTGACCCAGTGTTGATGCCACACTTTAGAAAAGCCATGTGACAAGTCTCACTGGGTCAGTCTATTGCAGAAGTGAACATTTGAAAATGAATGTGTTGAACAAAAGTTTAATATTTTTAACTACCAACAAAGATGGACTTCAATGAATGATTATTTCATTATGCATGTAACTCATGTAACTGTGAAAAGAAATTCTTGTATCAAAATCAATATTTTTCTGTTTTTGTGTAATGGGTAATATAATTTCTGTGTCTCCACAGTAACAGGTAGAAAACAGAAGAAAGGTGGAGTTGTACCGACACAAGTTGTGCAGACATCCCTGACTATCCTGGACAGTTTCCTCTCCTGTCTGGAGCATGATGACATAGAGGATGGCAAGGAGGTGTGTTTTACATTATCATCTTTTCTGTTAAATGATACACTTCATATCACGTAAAATCACGTACAACTGTTTAGTAATAGTACACTTCTGTCACAGTAGTAACTGTTGCAATTGACTTCAATATGTAAGATATTATACTGAAGGTATTATACAGCATATGTGTAATGTTTAAGTTAAAAATTGTATGATTTTTTTTACTATATGGATATCTCTCATTATGAGATGAGGTACATACTCATTAACCAATATCATATTTTTCTCCATTTACAGCATTTTCCTCCTAACCTGCCAGAAGAGACATGGAACACCTTTATACAGCAGTACTATACTTTGGTCCAGTAAGTTGACTTTTATTTGCCCTTAGTCTGTCCAGTAAGTTGACATTTACTTTAGTCAATCTGTATCTGTATCTGTATAGCCGGTATAACCGCCTTTCGGCGTAACACACCAGCTTCGCAGGCACGCGGCGCGGCGGCAGCTGGCTATATTACACCGATCGACTTGTTACACCTAACCCTTGAACTTCTAGCTCTAGACATTGTTTAAAGCTATCTATTGACAATGCCCCTACTGTACTTGGTGACAGTGAGTTCCACTCTGCGATAGTTCTAGGAAAGAATGAATTCTTGAACACCTCAATCCTCGGTTGATAACTCTGGTACTTGAATGCGTGGCTAAACTAAATGCTAACTAAATGTCTGACCGTTTCTAAAATCATATCCAGTTGCTTGAGCAACTGTTTTTTTGGCATATTTTATTACTTGGATGTCTAACGCTTAGTATCTAAGTATGAATTAATGTATCCTTCATCGATGTACCTTTATCCTTGAGTTGTGATAAGGATAGTTGTTATTATCATTATTATTATTGTTATTGGTTAGTTACTGTTTATTCTTTATTATCATTGCCATTATCATTATTTATTGTATCCCAGTTTTACTGTTTGTATGTGACTGTTGTGTTTTGTTGTGTAAAACAGGGCCCCATTGAAAAGAAGTGCAATCACTTAATAGGCCACCCTGTATAAAAATGACAGAAATAAAATAAAAAAATATTAATAGATTTTGAGAATAAAGGAACTAGAGAAGTAACATTCGCATCGCAAATGCATATTATGTTTACCTTCGGACATGGTCTGCCCTGTTAATTTTTACTCAAACACATTCACATACATGTACTACTAGTATATGGTGACAGGAGTAGAGCAGACCATGAAATTGCAACATTGTGTAACCCAACACCAATCACCATGATGACAGACGTAAACAAATCATGTTATTGGCCTGGTCAGAGGTTAGTGTTTGGAACAGAAAAGGAGGAAGAAACTGAGTAAAAGCAATATGTTTTCCTTCGGTAAACATAAACATACTCAATACTCTTATATGCCTTTTTTCTTCAGTGACTGTGGCACCCTGAGTACAGACAGTGATGTAGACATAGATCGGTGTGTGGACACACTGGAACAGTTTAAGGAGGCGTGGCCACAGTGTCAGATAGACGGCACCACCAACATGTGGATCGTCAAACCTGGGGCCAAGTCAAGAGGCAGAGGTGGGTTTGGTTTTCCTCTTACGTATCTGGATCCATCTGGACCTTGCAGAGTAAAAAATGTCCACATGCATATATAGCTTAACCAATTTTTTTGTCTCCTGGGAGAGTTTTTCGCTGCCGAAAAATCAATCGTAAAGTTGGGCTGCAAATCCGACATTCTGGCGGCGGCAGTCGGTACGGGCCTTCCCGCGCTGATTTTGACGGAGGTGTTCGAGTTGCTAGGGCATTGCTAAGGGGGGCGTGGCTTATGGAACGGTCCATTGCAACATTATATAACCCAATACCAGTCACCATGGTGACAAACGTCAACAAATCATGACATTGGTCAGGTCAGAGGTCACTGTTTGGAGAAAAAGAAGAGGAAGAAACAGAGCAAAAACAATATGTTTTCCTTTGGTAAACATAATAAACAAACAAACAAGCACAAACAAACCATCTGGCTATTGTGGCCACATTTTATTGGTCCAGGTTTTGGATTATTTCTCGCACTGATCCTATCCTATCTATAGTAGTATCTGATAGAATCCTATCTATAGTAGTCTGTCTTTGCTAATCATCTGAGAAAAAGCCATTGATAAGGTTTTTCATTGTTTTTCAGAAATCAAAGTGATGAACAAACTAGAAGATATCTGTAAGCTGGTAGAAAGCACAGTTGTGAAGAAGGAAGGAAAGTGGGTTGTGCAGAAATACATTGAGGTATGTCAACATTTTTTTCTTAGACACACATGATAGAATAACTTTAAAGTTAATATTATTCAGTGTTGAACAATGTCTGTGTCAAAAAAAAAGTGTATTTGGTACTATATGGAACTTTAACTTTGTAATCACTGATGCTCGATATGTTATTATATATACTTTGCATTACTACACACATTTCATGTTTGAAACCTACAATTTTTATTGCAGGATCCTCTGCTGATTCACAACACCAAGTTTGACATCCGTCAGTGGTTCCTGGTGACAGACTGGAACCCTCTGACCATCTGGTTCTACAAGGACTGCTACCTGAGGTTCTGTTCTCAGGAATTCTCCCTGGAGAACTTCCACGAGTAAGTGCATGTTCCCATTAAGGCCACACCAATTTAATTTCTTGGTGAACAGATTTTTCTAGAAAAATAATGGAGCGGGCGGGCGAAAAACAAAAAATAAAAACAGGCCTAGGCATCCTATTATGGCCCAAAATAGTACGATAAGAGCCATGAAGTCAACACGCCAGGTTGGTTAAAAATTTAAAGAATGAATTTTGAACTTTTAATGATCCCACTGCATTGAAAGATGGAATAACCGTAACAACTAGGAAGAAACGGACTGTTTTCAATTGTTCAGGGCAAAATATGAGCATTTTGCAGTTGATTCTGAATTTTTTTGGGGGGGGGGGGGCAAATCAGAAAAAAATGAAGCGGGCGAATCCGTTAACCAAGAAATTGAATTGGTTTGGCCTAATGGCATCCAGTGCAATTTCTAGGCCTGGATTTTCAAAGATAATTTTCTGGTCACCACATAATCATCGGCCATTGTACAAAACGCCAAGCATTGAGATGGTTAGGTTGATTGCTGTCCAAGGTGCTGATTTTTTGGTTGCTTTCCGTTCAATGCTAAAGATGACCTATCTTGGCAGGGCTGGTGTGTTCAGTCAATTTTGTCCAACTTTCATAACCATATATCCTAGTAGATTTCATAATGAAGGCAACTTTTTATTTCCCAAAGTTTTTTTTTTATTCACATACACATTTGCATCAGTTTTAGGGCTCCCAATGGATATCATCAAATAATCAAATCAATATGGCCTAATAATAAATTACTGTGAGATACATGTAGATACAGTCATTATAATGCTGTTTTCCTTTTTTTCAGAGCCATTCACTTGTCAAACAACTCAGTGCAAAAGAACTACAACAGCCCTCGTGCAAGTAACATCCCAGCCAACCTCATGTGGCACTCCAAGACCTTCAAGGAGTACCTCAGGTGAGGGACATGTCTTAGAAACAGGAACACTAAGACACAAATTTTGAGATTTTAAAAAAATATTTGAAAAAAAATCTCCAGATTTATTTTGAGATTTTTTTCGTTTTCAATGAAGCAGGAAGGGTCTCACTTGGGGGGGTATTATGATCCTTTGGGTAACAGAGAACCTTTCTGCAAAATATCAGATGTGTAGGTTTAAGTAGTAAAAGGCTAGATGCACTTAAACTGCTCTCCTCAGTCTAAAAAAAATCAGTTTGCTGTTTAGTACTTTTTAGGTCATGTAGGAAATTGACTCTATGTTTAATATAGACTATTTCACCTTTCTCTCAATCGAAAAATGTCTTTTAAAAATCTATAGTGTAATGTATAGTGTTAGCACTATTATTAAAATTCTGACTTTTTGTTTCCATGTGTAATCAGATCTGATGGCAATGGTGACATGTGGGAGTCCCTGGTGTATCCAGGCATGAGACAGGCTGTCATCTATGCAATGGAGGCTTCTCAAGATATGATCGAGGGCAGAAAGGTAGGCTGAAAAACGCTGTACAAAAAATGCAAAAATAAGTGAAAATTTGAATATTATAAAGCGAAAACAAGCAAAAATAAGCGAAAACTTATTTTTTTGAGACCCCTGAAAAATCTATTTTTTTTTTGTGTGTGTACCTCAGTGAAGGTTAGACAGGTAATGAGATATGCAACACAGTTAGTTACTCAAGCAACTGGATATGATTTTGGAAATGGTCGTGCATTTCAGGTGACATCTGTGTCCATTATATCACCAGGGTCCATAATATCGTCACCTTGAGAAACAGTGTGCTTAAAGATATTTTACTGCAACATACTTTTGGTATGCACTCCTTCACACATCAAATGTACATACCTAGGGTATGTTGCAGTACAAATATCTTTAAGCACACTATTTCTCAAGGTGGCGATATTATGGACCCTGGTGATATTATGGACACAGATGTTAACTATATACAGACACTATTTTTTTCAGGATTGAAACCAGAATCACAGCATTAATTTTCATAGGCCTAATTATTGTTGCCCACACATCTACCAGTGCTTTACAATGTCACCAATCCATTAACTGCCTTTTTAATCTCCTGCAGGGTTCCTTTGAGCTGTATGGAGCAGACTTCATGTTAGACACAGACCTGAACCCGTGGCTGATTGAGATTAACTCCAGCCCCTGTATGTCCCCCTCCACCACCATCACAGCAGAGATGTGTGCCTCTGTGCTGGAAGATACCATGAAAGGTCAGGAACAGTACCTGTAATTCATCATCTTTTTGTGGTACTTTTATGTTGACAGTTTTTGTGGTCACTTCCGTACTGCAAACTTATCTTTAGTAGACTTTACTGTGAACAAGTAATTCACAGACTTTCTTTCTTCTGCACCTGCTGCCAAGTCAAACATATACATGTAGTTCTGCAAACATGTCCACTAGCTTTTCTCAGACCACAAAATTTTGCTACTGCATGTGAATTACAGTACTCTTACTAGTTGTTGCTGCTTACTGTAATTCCTGATTTTTCATCACTTTTTGTGTTCACGGTTTTCACAGTGACTTCTGTGCTATGAACCTATCATTACTGTTATCAAATCATTTGTCTTTGGCCCTCCTCTATGCACATGCTGCCACAATGAAGATTACATTCCGTGAACATGTCCATTTACTCAAACCATGAAATTTTGCTAAAAAGAAGAAAAAGTTGTAACTATCCCAGGCCTGTATAACTTTCCTCTGTTTGCATCTTTATTACTCAATCTTGCTCCCAAATGTGTTGGAAAAATATAAATGGCTTTCACAATTTTCAACATACGCATGTTAACAACCTCAACTCAGTTGTGTTGAAATGACATATTTAAGTTTTTTAGCAGGACAGTTAGCTCTGTACATCATTCTTACCAATGTTTTTTTCTTCCCCTCTATTTAGTTGTTCTGGATAGAAGATCAGATAAAAATTGTGACACGGGGAGATTTGAATTAGCATTTAAACAGGTAAGTTTTGTCATCAGTACACATGTCATGTTGTTAAGCTGTTTTTATGCTGATTTTGTGTTGTGTAATATAAGTAGTTTATCTTTTTCAAATTACATTATACAGCTTTATCGACTTTGATAAAAAGATGGCCATCCACCAACTGTTCAAACAATATAAACTGTATATATGATTTAGTTTGTACATTATGTTCTTTTTGTTTGTATATTATGTAAATTTTGTGCCAATTTATGTAATTTGATTTATCTTTTGTCTACTACTGATTAATTGTAAAAGTTTTGTTCTTTTATTCTATTTGACTGTATTGTATTGTAGCAGACTCCAGGAAGAATAGTTTTAGATTAATTGTAACACTAGTGGAGATCCAAATAAAACAAACAAACAAACAAACAAATAATTAAACATTCTATGTTTCAACAGAGCACAATCCACATCCCACCTTACATCGGGATCAGCCTGTCTGTTGAGGGGCAGGCCATCCACAGACCTGTGGAGAGACGACAGTCGCAGGCCAACAATGGGACAACAAACGGCAATGACTCAGGAAACGCAACCCGCGACTCCAACAACGCTTCAACAAACAAAACAAACTCTGCTGTCAACTCTTCGCAAAACGGTTCAAGTAGATCTGGAGTTGGCAACGCTGGCGGAAACTCTTCGCAAAACGGTTCAAGTAGAAACTTTGGACAGCAATCAAATTCTCCTCCGAAAATCACGTATTCGACACAGGGACATAATAATAAGGACTCCTCCAATGTACCCGAACCTGGGAAAAATGGCGGCCCGCCTCTACCTCATGGGTATCACAACACGAGAGTGAAGGCTAAAAGTGCGCTGATGCAGTCCAGTAGGAAAACCGCGGTGCCCGCCATCCGACTGTACAACAACAGGTCACCCAACAACAGACAGGCCATGCCGCTGAAACATGTGGAGGGGTCAGACTTCAGTAATGTGGAACAGGATGATACAGGTCTGCTATAGTCATTAAATGTGTTATTACCTTTGTCAGAAGGTTATGTGTTTAGATATACCATACAATGTATATAGGGGTTGCTGATTTGGCCTTTCAGTCACCTTACTGATCTCAGTCTATGCTAGCTATCGAGTGCTGCTTTATCCACATACTGTAAGCTGAAGCAATCTACAATATATATTGCATAACACAAAGCAAAACAACATACACGTAATACACTACTATTACATAGAAAAGCAACACAAATATTAAACAAAATGACGAAGGTATTAGATTTTTGACCTCTAGTTATGTTTTTCAATTCAAGGATTTATTTTTTTCTTTGAAATTTAAATTCAATTTTACTATTTGGCATTTCCTGTCCTTTCAAATTGTTTATTTATGGGCTTGTTAGTAACATACTATATTAGGTATGTTTCATTGTTACATAGTGTGTGACCCTTCTAACCTTTGCCCTTTGCCCCTAGCCACAGCGGAAGCTTCCTCCGACGTCCAACCACAGGCCTCGGGCCTCACCTGCGTCTCCTGTGGTGGGGTCGGCAGCAGAAAGACGTCGGCGCTACCAAATAAGGAAAACCTCCTGTTCCCAGTGCCCAGGGACGTTCCCATCATGCCCCTGCCCCTGGCCATGCAGGGCATCGACCTCCAGCCCAAAATGGTGGCCAAGAACTCTGTCATTAGCATAAACGCCCTCCCCATCCAGAGCGATTCCGTGAGAATCGGTTTTCACCGTGACGCGACGGGACACCACCTGCACCGCCGCCACCACCTCAACAACCCCCATCACCCGCACTACCACGAGGGACGGGGTATGAACGGGAAGAAGAAGTCCAACGCGGTCCACCGGACCGTCCTCAACACGGGAATCGTACAGCCACACGTCCGCCCCATCGCAATCGTGTCACAGTCATACAGGTGATGCAAAAGTCACCATCCTCAGCATGAGTTACGCATAAGGCCATGTTGATTTGATTACATATGGAGGACCTCCTCTGGGAACCCCAAAACTGAGAACTAGGTCATCTTCAGCATTCAACGGAAAGCAACCAACAATTCAGCACTGTGGACAGCAATCAACCTAACCCTCTCAATCCTTGGCATTTTGTAGAATGATTATATAGTGACTTATTAGCAGCTGCTTTGTATGATTTACAGTATGGTCTAAAACTTTTTTGGGGGAAACACACGAAAATTTGTGCACATGCAAATGCCAATCATATCAACATGGCCTTTACTGTAGATTGAATCTTGAGAGTTGTTATACCAGGGATTCACAAACCAACACCCAACATTATGTGGTTATGTACATGTACTAAATGTACATGTGACATGCAGCAAATATTTGTATACTGCAATTTTCTTATGGTTCCAGGTGTGCCACTGATGAAATTTGTAAACTTTCCATGACTTGCTCTTACTGTTGAAAGAACATTGTCACTGTTTGTGCACTGTCTCTGCAACAGTTACTGTTTGTCTAAATGTTGTGGCAGTGATTGTACATGTATAGACCCAGTAAAACTTTTTACATTATGAGATCCTCTGCAGTAAGAATCATACTGTCGATTAGAAATTCTGAGATTTTTAAAAAATATTATTTGGGCTAGAATATGCAGTTATATGCAAGCTTTGCCTATGTGCAGAATTTTGAGCCTTGAGCTGGAAGATTATGTAAATGAGTGAGATTACTTTTAACTAGACAGTAACTTTGTTACAAATCTCCATAAGACACTTTAGGTGTTTTTCCTTTGGAGATATATTTTGTTTATAGACCTTCTAGCTTGAAACAACTTCCAGAAATGACTGACCATCACAGGCTAGATTTTATTTTATTTTTTTAAATTCCGAGATTGATTCATCGAGTATGTACAAAAGTGCAAAACAGAAAGCAGCAGACTTTGTCAAAAATATCTGCTATTTTTCCATGACCAGGATATACTACACAAGCTCTCCTTGCTGGCACTGATTTCTGCAATATTCTTTTTTTTTTAATGCTTGGAAACTTGCTTGAGTGCCTTCCTTGTTGCAGCTTGATCCAGATTGTTTGCCTTATGTTGTTGTGTTTGACAATGAAAAATCAGTGAGTTATGTGTTTTTCTTGCATTATAAAGATTAATCACAACAAAAGTAGAAAACAAATAGATGAAGGATTCTGCACTCCTCTACAGGAATATGTAATGTAAAATCTAATAGTTTGTATTTTTCTATTTCAGTATTTGCTTCTATCAGTTGTTTAAGTGTAAAGGGTTTGAATGTCTGTGTGTATGTCTTAGTCCAATGTTATGTAAATTTCTATTGCAACGAATTACCTCTTGTTGTACAAGTGGTGATGTAATGTTCCAATTGCAAAAGTATGATATATATTAGTGTGTATCAACCAGTAAACCGAATGAAGAAGCATTTATATGTATATAATACTTTACTCAGACTATATTACTGATTTTATGATCTGTACTCAGTTTTGCCTATGATTTTTTTTATAATAGACAAGGTTATGAATCAAAGGTGTGATGATTTAAACATGTGGAACATATATCATGGTGAGGAATTTGATATGCTGCATGACTATCATGAATTAATAATGGCTGATACCATGATTACTATCCTGTATAATATTGTGGTATATTCACTGAATAAACCTATTGTACTCTTACTATTGAGAAGTGTTGCAATGGTTAAGCTATAGTTTTATACATACAGATTATGTTTCTATTCTCGTATTATAAGTCAACATAATATGGACAAGCAAATTTTTTTTGGGTGTAGCAATAAATTGTCTTGCCCAAGGATTCCACTAAAGATACAAATGAAAGCTCATTACATTAGGCCACACCAATTTGATTTTTTGGTTCTCAGATTTTTTTTCAGAACAAACACGAAGTGACAGAGCAAAATAAAAAATAAAAACAGGCCTAGGCATCCTATGATAGCCCCAAATGCTATGATAGAAGCCATGAAGTCAACATACCAGACTGGTTTGCAAATCAAACAAAGAATTTCAAATGCCTAGTATGTATGTCACAATGCTTAGTATGCCTAGTACATATGTCACAATTACACTACATTCCGGAATGTATTGTAAACAGCGCACTGTGAACTATGTAACACCTTTAGTGCACTATGCACCAAGTAACATCTAGTGTCAGTAAACCAGTCAGAATTGCCCTGATGAAGATGACAGACGGTCATCGAAATGTCGGCTAGTGAAAAATAAATGGTTGTGATCAAAGAACTTTGCTATTCAAGAATTTCAAAGTTTTAATCAAACCACTGCATTGATAAATGGAAAAACATGTTACAACTCTGAAGGGAAGGGACTTCCTTCAACTATTGGGGCCAAAATATGAGCATCTGAGTTAATTCAGAGCCTTAAAATTGTTTTTTTGCAAATCAGGAAAAAAATAAAGTGTGCGAATCCGTGAACAAATGATTGTTGTGGCCTTAGTATAAAGTTACCAGAGTGAGAAAACATGGTTTACTGGATGAATTGATGCGGAGGCACAACTGAAGTAACTGTGTATTACTTGTTTAATATCACAAAACAGTCTTCAAATGCAACTTCACACCACAATTCACTTCTTTCATTCATTCATAAAAACAAGTACAATTTACACACAATACTTTCCACGCTATAAAAATTTTCAGTCAATACAATAAATATATTACAATTCAAAATCATAACAATGGTAGGTCAATGTTTAGGTAGAAAAATATAAAAGTCTTTCTATAACATCTTGACTGGTATACAATACTACAGAATCAGTTAACTTTAGAAGGTAGTAACAATTCACACTGTACTGTCACATTCACACCATTCATATTATGTACAATTATATTTAGACCACTCTTAATTATAAGAAGAAGCAAAGAAAAATGCAGTACAGTTACAGATCAAAATGGACCTATACCATTATAACCTCACAGTTTGTTTACCTGTTCTAAAGAACATTCTAGAACGGTCAGTTAAAGAATAAAGATCATTTCAAAGTTTTCAAAGTCAGGTATGTCTGATTTTTGCTGCGTCTACTTGTGTTGACACAGCATTACATGCCGCATGGGTGATTTAGTTGTGACATTAGACGAAAGTAGTACTGTATTAAAAGCCTTATATTAGGCTAACGCTACACAAACACACACTGCGCTACGCACCCCTGTACAATATAAACGTTGATTGACCGGCATTCATTGCGGTAAACAAACTGTGACGTAATAATGGTATATGTCCATTAAAGAGTGCATTTCCAGCTTTACCTGGCTTCAAATTATTATCACAATCATTGATGGTTCTAAGTTTAATAATTAGCCCACAGCAAGTAAATTTTATGGATGACATCAGGACGCACATTGATTTTGCTCAATTTCAAAACAAATTTTGCCCTCTGGCGGTGGTCAAAATGCTAAAAATGTCTATCGGTTCAGAGACCATCAGGGATCCAGCAAACGTGAGGCACAATCGTTCACATGGCAAGTGTTGACAGTCTAAGGTGTTCCATCGTACATGAATACCCAGTGTAGTAGCTGTATACACATCATGGTACGACAAGCTATTTTCTACATTATTGTTGTATACACCAGGACAGGTAATACTAATGAATACAGGAATAAAAGACCCCTGGGCTGTGTGGTTATCATACTCTACTCAGGCTCAGTACTGTGGAATAACTTATCAACTGTGGAATAACTTATCAACTGAGCTGAGAACGGCTGCGTCGAGTCATTTAGAATGACTAAATTTGTGAACTGAAACTTGGATGTTTGATACTGATGAGATATACAAACTGAGATAAGGCCACACCAATTTAATTTCTTGGTTAACGGATTTTTCTAGAAAAATAATGGAGCGGGCGGGCGGAAAAAAAAAATAAATAAAAACAGGCCTTGGCATCCTATTATGGCCCAAAATGGTACAATAGGAGCCATGAAGTCAACACACCAGACTGGTTCAAAATTAAATAATGAATTTTGAATGATACCACTGCATTAAAAGATGGAATAACTGTAACAACTAGGATGAAAAGGACTGTTTTCAACTGTTCAGGGCAAAATATGAGCATTTTGCAGTTGATTCTGAATTTTTATTTTTATTTGCAAATCCGAAAAAAATGAAGCGGCGATTCCGTTAACCAAGAAATTAAATTGGTGTGGCCTAATGTTTGAATTTTGTATGGACTTGTATATAATTTATATTGTATTTCTACGACTGATTGTAACTGAACTGGAGAATTTGCAAAGACCCCTGACCTACCTCCCCTTGACCTCTTGAAAAATGGCTTAGGCCGAAGAGTGGTACTGTTACATACATGTACTGTACATTTTCAAGGTTAAATAAAGGTTGAAAAAAAAAAGTTTTGTTTCCTCAATTCTTGTTTAACAAGGTTTATGATGTAAAATGTAGGAATCATGTTTTCTTGCCCGCCTTGTTTTTTTCGCTCTAAATTTGTAAGTTTGGAGTCTGTGGAGGATGTCATCCATAAAACTTACTTGCTGTGGCCTCATGATGAAGTCAATTAAATACTGTGGGAGAATCATGGGCACAATGATGTACAATAATTCCTGATATTTTTACAGTGGTCTCTTCTTTTCGCGAGAACTTATCCTTACAGTTAACAAATAATTTGCAGTCTCTTTTTCTGCACCTGCAGCCATCATGAACATATAGCTCTACAAACGTACATTAATTTTTTGTAACACTTTCGCTACCGTGAACATAAAGTGAATTACAGTACTAAGGAAAATTAAGGGCACAGCAATTCCTAATTTCTCTGTCAGTAAGTTTTCAAGAGCATGCAACTTACCAGATACACTCAACATACACACTTCCAAAATCCAGCAAACTATTTCTTAACAATACAATCTTGTAAAGTATAAGCAACACACTCATTTTTGAGTGCTTTAAGCTTGTACATCTTTTTACAAAACCTGATTTTTTTAGTATCTTTACAAAAATTCCTTTTTAAAATCACTGTTCCTTGAAGTTGGCAATCTAGAAAACAGGCTCTGCCATACCTGTATCTTTATGACAACTGCTGTAAAAAAATTGCATAGCAATTTTGATATTATCAGCTTCATAAGATCAATGTTTCAAAACATTGTCTGACTCTATATTCATCATTTTTTTTACTTTTACACAGAAATGGGAAAGTTGTAAAATTTTTATAAACGCTGTACAAAATACATGCCTTAGGCCACACCAATTTAATTTGTTGGTTCATGGATTCCCCATTTCCGATTTGGAAAAAAAAAACATTTCAGCCTCTGAATCAACTAAAATGCCCATATTTTATGGCCTAAACAGTTGAAGGAAGACCCTTCCTTCTCTTCCTAGATGTAACAGTTTGTCCATCTATCAGTTTGAAATTCATTGTTTGAATAGCATCCAACCTGATGTGTTGACTTCATGGCTCCTATCATAGCATTTGGGGCTATGCTATCATAGGATGCCTAACAGCCTGCTTTTATTTTTTTCGCCCTGTTCATATTTTTTTCATATAAAAAATCCAAGAAACAAGTAATCAAATTGGTGTGGCCTTAGCATGAAAGTTTGTTTCAATGGTCAATGCAAGGAGGTTCAAAAAGCCTCCTTGGTCAGTGTCAAAAACTTGAGTAACCATTGAGATGAGTTTACAAATGTATGCACCAATGTTGAAGGTTGGAGCTGCCAATGGGTTTCCTGTGAAGGCCTGTTGTCTCCAGGTGTCATTATGTGGAGGATGCCTGTAATGGAAACACAACAACAACACAGATGTCAGTACCATGGACAACTATGGACAATGCACTGTCATGCCTGTAGTAGGTAGCATGCAATGCAATTTCAGGTTGGCAAAACAAAAAAGATATTCTGGATAGGAAAATCTGTCTGGTAATAACATTATCTTACTGCCATTTCTTAGCACATTTAATACTTGAAGCATTTAAAATACTTGTAATAGCGACCTCCTCTGCATACAGACCACCTCTCTATTGTGACCACTTTTTGTTGGTCCCCTAGATTTTTCCCATTGCCTAAGCATTACGGTAATAATCTTGCCTATAGTGAAGGTAGGCAAATTTCATGATACAAGGATAAATTTGGAAATTTCAGACACCGAAAGATACATTTAAGCTACTAGTAAGTTAGACATTCAACTAGAGTAACTTAATGAAGACCACATTTACACTTTCTATATGGGTACAATTACATTATGTATTATAACTTGTCATATACATTTCATCTGTCAATTAAGAATATATCTCGATGGAAACTTAAAGCCTTTCTCACCGGACCCCCACCCCTTCCCCCAGACTTAATCCCCTGTTTAACAATCTAGAGACACTGACCGAAGTAGATCTCTTCCGTTTCCAGCAGTCTGGGTGGATCTTCTTGTGTCTCTCGGCCAGCACCTTGGCTTCTTGTGCGTAAACCTTTCTCTCCTCCACCTTCATCTTCTTCCACCTGTCTCCAAGGATCACACTGATGGCCCTAAGACAAGGAGGCAAAAGTAACACACACTTCAAGACTCCCAATGGAAACAAACTTTGAAACTAGAAACTTTAAGGTAACATTTACAAAGCAAATGCATGATGTTTACCTTCGCATATGGTCTGCTCTGTTAATTCTTACTCGAACACATTCATACACAGGTATATGGCGACAGATGTCTAAGTCCCTCCTGCCATAAAATTGCAACATTATGTAGCCCAACACCAGTTACCATGGTGACAGACAGTCTAGTTCAGGTCGTTGACCAGGTCAGAGGTCAGCGTTTGGAATGGAAGAAGAAACTGAGCAAAAAAAACAGCCTGGTATGTTGACTTCATGGCTTCATTTGTAACATTTTGGGCTATCGTATCATGGGGTGCCTTGGCCTTTTTAAAAATTATTTCACCCTGTTGATTCATATTTTTTTCGAAAAAATCTGAGAAACAACAAATCAAATTAGTATGGCTTAAGAAAGAGAAAAGAAATTCTATTCTTACCTGTTGTCCTTTCCAGGGTACAACTGTGTGTACTCCATACGGAATTTCTTGGCAAACAACATGAATGCATTCATGGGCCTCTTGGCCTTGACTGGCTGGTCACTGTTCCCACTACTGTTCCTCTGTCGCTTGGTGGGGGAGGAGGGAGGAGACCTCACAGGACTGCTCTGTAACTCTCGTCTTTGCTGTAAGGACACAAAACCAAGTTACGTCGATGAAGGTTAGACATCCAGGTAATACGAACGCCAAAAAACAGTTACTCAAGCAACTGGATATGATTTTGAAAACGTCAGACGTTTCAGCTAGTATCCACTAGTCCCGAGGACAGACAACACTTAAGCTCCTGTTCTGTATAACAGGAGCTTTCAGACTAATTTGCATCATCTTGTCTTGACTTGTCTGACTTTTGTTACTTTTTCGACTTCCAAAAATTTGTCTTCACTTTATTTGCATATCAATCAACAGGTTGTGTTTATAAACCTGCTTTCCCCTCTGGTCTCTCAGTCACTGACGAAAGCTAGTGGATACTAGCTGAAACGTCTGACGTTTTCAAAATCATATCCAGTTGCTTGAGTAACTGTTTTTTGACAAAACCAAGTTCATGACAATGTTTATTGCTTATTTTTATTTCACCAGGACAGACTTGCCTTCTGGCATTTTTCAAAGAATTCCTTGGGGGGACAAGCCCAACAAGCAAAAAAAGGTCAACTAAAGAAAAGTCTAATGAGAACAAATTAGCCCTCATGTACAAGTAGAAATCTCAAATAATAAATACTACAAAAATATAACAAATTTCTACAAAAAAAATTACATGGATGTTGTGAAACACAAGTTACTACTTTAATTAAGTAAATAATAGACTCTTCATTTTCATTTCTTCACATTTTCTTCTTTTCCTTTGGAATTGATTTGGCATTCTACAGCGTATCATTTTTCAATATTTGTTTTGCAATTTAGGCCATGTTGATTTGATTATATGGATGACATCCGCGCGCGCATGAATTTTCGGCCGTTTCCAAAATAAAAATTTTCAACCATACTGTAAATCATACAAAACAGTTGCAAAATGAGCAAAAATATACCATAATTTACAAAAAAAAATAATAAAAACTATACCAATGTCGTAAAATGCCAAAATCAAACGAAAAAAGACGAAATTGTAAAGAAATGAACTTGAAGACTAGATTATTCGCCAAACCATATTCTGTGCCATTTGCTCAACCCTCATGACCACGTAGATTTCATAATGAAAAGAACTTTTTTTTTGCAAAACTTTTTTTTTATTCGCACGCGGGCATCAGTTTTAGGGCTCCCGGAGGATGTCATCCATATAATCAAATCAACATGGCCTTACGGTTACCGTATATATAAAAAATTATATATTAATGTGAATCAGATCACAGTTACCTTAGCCAGGGTACTAAGGAAGTTGACGGCAGAAAACTCGTCAAACACGGAGTCCGTGTCCTCCTCTTGCTCCGGGGATGAACCACTGTCTGGAGGGGGGACACACACGTCTCCGTACTCTATCTCCTGGCACGGGAGACCGTAGCGGGTGTACGTCAAACCTGGATGGAAGGAGCACCAACCTGGTAGAGAAGAAAACAACACAGCTTACTACAAGACCCCGTTCACATTAAAAAATAAATTTTATAAGTTAAATGAATCCTAAATAACGACTAGTATTTCATGTTTGATTTCGAAATAGCAGAAAATTACCTAATGTGTAAAATGACTGATATAAACTGTTAGGCCCCTTCCCCACTAGGATAGATTGTAATTTTCTGCTGTTTCCAGAAAAATATTTTTCTTCTACTATATCATGATGACATTAAAAATTCAGTTGGCAGGTACTAGGTATTTCTACTCCAGGGACTCCAATCCCATAATGCACGTGGCTTAGACTTAAGTATTTAATATAAGCTATACGACAAGGAAAATGTATATTCAAGCAAACGTGTGTGCAGACATTTTATCCAGAACATAAACATCTAACGCTCAGTGTGTGTTGGAGCAGAAGTCTGTGACCACGATGGCACAAAACAAGGCACTGCTGTACTTCCTACTCCTGGTTTCCAATCAGCTACTGTTCGTGTCGGCACCAGCTTTACGGTGTCCTTACAGCTGTCACTCCAACCTCGTAAATCTATCGGGAAGGAAGCAAGTCATCTGTCACTGTCCAGATACAATCTGGGGGACACAGGCTGGGTCCCCCTGCAGCTGGATTGGGTACGGAGGAACGTACAGCTTCCCCGCATGTCTCGACACCATACCAACCGACTTCGACAAAGCCACGCGAACCATCTTCATCAAGCATCTCCGTTCCTCTACCATTTTGGAGCGGTCTTTCCCCAACAGCCCAGAAGTACGGTTCCTTATGATCCAGCAGTCCAACGTGTCCACGGTACAGCCAGGGGCTTTCCAAGGTCTGCCATTGGTGGAAGACCTTTCCCTCAGAGACAACCGTATCTCCAGTCTTGGTACGTTGACAAAAATGTGTATTTTGGGCTCCTGATATTTAATTTTCTTGCTTTTTAAAGCTTTAAAAAAATTCCTTATTTATCAAGACTAGTTAATATAATACACGAATCCTCAATGATATCACTCATATTTCAATGACATATTTGATTAAGAAATAGCAGAAAATGACCTACGTGTAAAATGACTGATACAATGAACTATAGGTACTTGATTGTATGTTAGTCCCATTCCTCACTAGTATAAATTTGTACTGGATCGAACCGAATAGATTAGCTGAATTGATCTGCCACCTATGCGGCTCAGCTACAATCCATCTCACTAGGTGGATCATACAAATGTGGCTGAGCCGGATCTAGCTGGATACAGAAAACAATGTTCCCACTGGGGTAAAGTTGACCAGATTGAACAAAAAAAATCCCTGCAAACTTACAATGATAAAAATTTTACAATATTCTGTTTTGTTTATCCTCAGAACCCGCTACCTTCCTTGGGCTTGAGAGGGTAACAAACCTGTACCTCGAAAAGAACGCCATTTCTGTCATATCCCAGCATGCGTTCCGAGGCCTACCTCTCCTGGCCAGGTTGAGCGGAATTCTGCTTGCCACCGTGAGGAAAGACATCAGGCTGGGGAGATGTGACAAAACGTCCACCACAACAGGTCCTCATACCCACCACACCAGTCGTCTGTACAACGACACCATTCCCACAGAGATGCCATACACAAACGCCACACCAGACTCAGAATACCAGGCTACAACAAGCCAGGCTACAACCGGGACTGACATTGTCACTCGTCCAAGTTTTGGCCCAATCCTCACTGAGAAATATGACAGTTATCACATCAATGCCATCATCCTGGCTGTTGCTGTGCCCCTCCTCATGGTGTTGGCAGCGGGGGTTGTTGTCTACTTGTACGAACGCTGTCACGACACAGGTCTGGCCCCTCACAACGCCCCTGCTGAAACAGATGGAAACTCCGCCCCTTCAGACAGAGACTCAGTCACAGGTGGACAACCGAGTCCTGCTGAGGACCAGACATCAGAGGGCAACGATGACATTGAGCCGTACGCTGTGTCATACATGGATGTGTCGGGGAAGGGGAAAAATGGCAAGCTTGCACCGTACGCAACAACTTCCTTTGCTAACATCAAGCCAACGGAACCAGACAACGATGACATCCAGCCAACGGAACCAGACAACGATGACATTGAGCCGTACGCTGTGTCATACATGGATGTGTCTGGGAAAGGAAAAAACGGCAAGCTGGCGCCATATGCAACGACCTTCATTAATGAAGACCCAGGACCACAGCTTCAGCCATATTCCGTGACCCAAGATGAAGACCCAGGGCCACAGCTTCAGCCATATGCAGTGACCCACGATGAAGATCCAGGGCCACAGCTTCAGCGATATGCAGTGACCCACGATGAAGATCCAGGGCCACAGCTTCAGCCATACGCTGTAACCCACGATGAAGACCCAGGGCCACAGCTTCAGCCATATGCTGTGACCCACGATGAAGACCCAGGACTGCAACTGACAACAAACGTCACAAATCCGGTCACCCGACCAAGGGTTCAGTCAATGCCAAGAGACCATACACTAGCAGGTTATATGTCACTGACAAATGCCACTAACCAACGGACAACTAACACCACTCAACCAGTCACCCAATCAAGGGGCCAGTCACTGCCACGAGGCCATACACTAGCAGGTTATATGTCACTGACAAATGCCACTAACCAACGGACAACAAACGGCACACAACCTGTCACCCAATTGGGGGGCCAGTCACTGCCAAAAGAGGCCAACATCAAGCCAAACTATGAAAGAGGCTGTCCGTCATCAAGAGACGACAGGGGTCCTTACGGAATGGACGAGGGGAAGGAGGTCCCAAGTGTCAGTGGGGCACTGTACAGGAGTGGCTCACAGCACACTGGTGCTGAGGACAGCACATCTCACAGGCTGTACTGTACAACACAGCTCAGAATGAGAGTGAGAACAGCACATCTCACAGGCTGTACAGCACAGCTCATGGACAGAATGAGAGTGAGAACAGCACATCTCACAGGCTGTACAACACAGCTCATGGACAGAATGAGAGTGAGAACAGCACATCTCACAGGCTGTACAACACAGCTCACGGACAGAATGAGAGTGAGAACAGCACATCTCTGTATAGTGGATTATCCTTAGACCCTTAGCTGCCTAGAGATGTATAGTAAGTCATAATGTATTTCATTGGTATTTTACAAATCTAATATTTTAAATATTGTGGCATCATCATCTTATTAAAAATTTGTATTGTGCTATGTTCGCCTGTGGTGTGCCTATGGCTGCGTACTACTACATACTGTAGTGTGTAACAACACTTAGTAATGTTTTTTCACTGACTGATAAATAAAAACAATAAAAATACAACTTTTTTTTTACAAATTTTCATTCAATTCAGAATCAGATTCAGGAAGTTTGTCAGACTAGGTTTTAATGACTTAAATCAAACAAACTGTAAAATGGATGTACCATTAAATGCAAGTTAAAATGATTATTTTCTGCTTTTATTAGAAATCTGAACAGACAGCTCACAGCCCTTGATGAAAAAAAAAAACACCAAAGGAATTCTTTCTCCACCTTGCTTTTATCTAAAATGAGTCTTATATAAAGGCAAGACGGAGAAATAATCCCCTTGGCATTTTTCATCAGTACATGTATGCCATGTATTCTCCTGAAGCACTGAGAGCTTGGATCAAAGAGATGCCGTTTGAAAGTGGTATGATTAATTTCTGAGCGTTTCTGGATGTTTCACTGGAAGTGATGAATATTAAAAGCTTACCGGTAATCCAAAATTAAAGCACATTCAACAGACAGCTAATGATTCTACCCAGAAGTAGTTTTGAGATTTATCCATTTTGGTGTATTTTTTCCCTAAGGCCACACCAATTTACTTTCTTGGTTAACGGATTCGCCCGCTTCATTTTCGTCTGATGTGCAAAAAAAAAAAATTCAGAATCAACTGCAAAATGCTCACAGATTTTGCCCTGAACAGTTGAAAACGGTCCTTTTCTTCCTAGTTGTTACAGTTATTCCATCTTTCAATGCAGTGGTTTGATTAAAAGTTCAAAATTCATTGTTTAAATTTTGAACCACCCTGGTGTGTTGACTTCATGGCTCCTACCGTACCATTTTGGGCCATAATAGGATGCCTAGGTCTGTTTTTATTTTTATTTTTTTTTTGCCTGCCCGCTCCATTATTTTTCTAGAAAAATCCGTTAACCAAGCAATTATTATGGCCTAATGAAAAATATAAAACAACATTTATTTCATGGTTCACGATACAAAAAGTGTAAGTTGCATACCATGTATTATGCAACGCTATTCGTCATGTTGTTGTAGTATCTTGGACTAAGAAAAATTCAATCCTTAAACAACCTGATAAAATTATTTACAGATGGTGGACTCTTGTCCTTACCTTTGTCCCGTACGTAGAAGGGATGGTCCAGGGCACACTCTGCACTGATCTCCCTATCTGCCACCTCTGTTCTGAACACCATGTGTACCATGTTCTCTGTTAGAGTTCTTACCTTTGTCCCGTACATAGAAGGGATGGTCCAGGGCACACTCTGCACTGATCTCCCTGTCTGCCACCTCTGTTCTGAACACCATGTGTACCATGTTCTCTGTTAGAGTTCTTACCTTTGTCCCGTACGTAGAAGGGGTGGTCCAGGGCACACTCTGCACTGATCTCCCTGTCTGCCACCTCTGTTCTGAACACCATGACTGTGTACCATGTTCTCTGTTACTAGTGTTAGAGTTCTTACCTTTGTCCCGTACGTAGAAGGGATGGTCCAGGGCACACTCTGCACTGATCTCCCTGTCTGCCACCTCTGTTCTGAACACCATGTGTACCATGTTCTCTGCTCTCCTGTCTGCTGATGTAGTCTCCTCAAACTCTACAAGTCTCAGGCCACACAGGGACGTGGTGTCCTACACACAACAACAATGATGATGTAAACAATGTCGATGTAAAGTAAACAATGTTGATGTCAACAATGTTGATATATACATTGTGAACAATGTTGATGTAAAAAAATGTTGATGTATTCTAAGGCCACACCAATTTAATTTGTTGGTTCTCGGATTTTTTCAGAACAAATATGAAGCGACAGGGCGAAAAAAATAAAAATAAAAACAGGTCTATAGGCATCCCATTATAGGCTTAAATGCTACGGAATGAGCCATGAAGTCAACACAAAAGGCTGGGTTAAAATTTAAACATTGAATTTTGAACTTTTAATCAAACCACTGCAATGATAGATGGGAAAACTGTAACAACTAGGAAGAAAAGGACTTTCCTCAACTGTTGGGGGCAAAACATGAGCATTTTTCAGTTGATTCAGAACCAGAATCAATTTTTTTTTTTTTTGCAAATCAGAAAAAAACGAAGAGGCGAATCCGAGAACCAACAAATTAAATTGGTGTGGCCTAAACAATGATAATGTAATTATGTGATGTAAAGAATGTTGTAAACAAGGTTGATGTAAACAATGCTGATGTAAACAATGTTGATGTAAACAATGGTGATGTAAACGATGTTGATGCAAACAATGTTGAATATAAACAATCTTCATGCAATGTTGATGTAAACCATGTTGATGTAATCCAAGCACATGAAATGTAAACAATGTTGATGTAAACAATGTTGATGTAAACAACATTGATGTAAACAAAGTTGATGTAAACAATGTTAATGCAAATAATGTTGATGCAAACAATGCTGTTGATGCAAACAATGTTGATATAAATGGTGTTAATGTAAACAATCTTGATATAAATGATGTTGATGCATACACTGTAAACAATATTGATGTAAACAATGTTTATGTATCATATTATAGTTCCTCACTGATTTGCTTACTCTCACTAGCCAATCAGGACCTACCTATCACACTAATACATGCAAATTCCTCCTTTCAATGGTCTAGTTACTAATCACGCATATCAAATGACTGTTACACACATCTATTTTCCATGCATTGTAATGCATGCATGTATTAGGATAAGATCTAGAGTTCAGAGATGCTATACCTTCCCCAGCAGCACATTTAGCACCTCCTTGAGTGTCCTGTCCTCCTGTAAGGAGTCGTCAGACGGCACGTCTTCCGCCAGCCGCCACTCCCGCCGTGTGTCTTCACTCAGTCGCACTCTCGTGCCTGGGTGGGGAACAGACGGTCTTTAGTATCTAGTAAACTACATTTTACTTGCTATTGGACTGGGCTGGCTTCTCTCTCCTTGCAAAACCTGAAACCTTAAGTTTTTATTTTTTTGAATCTGAAAACATGAAGAGGCAAATCCAAGAACCAATTGCTTAAATTGGTGTGGCCTTGAATGAATGAATGATCACAGGTATAGAAATGACACAATGTGCTGAACATATACAAAAATAAAAATAAACTAGAGAGGTTAAAACAGTTACAAATGCATAATGTTTACCTTCACCTGGTCTAGCCCAAAAAACTACTGCACTGTTTATTCTTGCTTAAACTTGAAGTCCAATACATTCAGTATGGTGAGTAGCCTCTTGCCATGGGAAGATGCTCCAACTCGTTTCTGCTACATAATGTAATTCAACACTACTGGGTGTTACCAGTTACCATGGTGACAGACATTTGGTCCAGGTCATTGACTTTATCTGTTTGGAACGGAAGGAGAAGAAGAAACTGAGCAAACACGATATGTTTTCCTTCTGCGAAGGTAAACATAATAAATAAGAATGATGATATTATGGTGAATAATCAGTCCTAACCTTTCATGAAGCAGTGCCAGGCTGTGGTTGGCCAAGACTTGGACAGTGCTGGTGGGTCGGCCAGTCTTTCGCTGGAAGAGAAGTGTGACGATGCAGACAAACCATTGCCCCCGGAAATAAGGCCACTCTGTGGAAAAAGGGACGAGGAATTGTTACACGTGGATGGCAAATAACATGTAAAGTCTTATCAGTAGGATATGTTGATTTGATTTAGATGGATGACATCTTCTGGGAACCCAAAACTGATTTTCATTGAGACAAGACTTTCATCAGGTCACTACAGTTAGCCCTGCCAAGATAGGTCATCTTCAGCATCGAATGGAAAGCAACCAAAAATTCAGCACTGTGGACAGCAAGGCTTAGGGAAAAAATGTTGTGTTTCCCGACCGACCCCAGCCTTTTTTTGTGGATCCCTGCTAGGAACAATTTTTGAAGCTGAGGCCACACCAATTTAATTTGTTGGTTCTCGGATTCGCCTCTTCATTTTTTTCTGATTTGCAAAAAAAAAAAAAAAGATTCTGGTTCTGAATCAACTCAAAAATGCTCATATTTTGCCCCCAACAGTTGAGGAAATTCCTTTTCTTCCTAGTTGTTACAGTTTTTTTCCATCTATCAATGCAGTGGTTTGATTAAAACTTCAAAATTTATACTTTAAATTTTAACCCGGCCTTTTTTGTTGACTTCATGGCTCATATCGTAGCATTTGGGGCTATAATAGGATGCCTAGACCTGTTTTTATTTTTATTTTTTTCGCCCTGTCGCTTCATATTTTTTCTGAAAAAATCCGAGAACCAACAAATTAAATTGGTGTGGCCTGATAACCTTTTCTAACTCCATGATCTGACACCCAAGGGATGAAACTTTGTACAATCAGTTTTCTAACATTGACATTGCATATACAATACATACATACATACATATATACATATAATAGAAGTGTCTTCATGCAACCGTTACTTGATTAAAGAGTATTGTACAATGTATAAGTTGGATCCCTAGAGATCGCCAAAGTCTAAAAAAAAAGATAATTCCTACCTACCGACATAAATTTTTTCGAGACTGAAACAGGAAACACAACATTATCGTTCCTTGGCCCAAAAACACAACCCCCTATAGTGACCTGCACTTCCCTGAAGTGAACATTATTCTAGTCTTGGTAAGTTTTTGAACACCTTAATTCTTCGTTGATAAGTCTGATATTTGAAGGCATAACTGTTTCTTGTTCTTTTCTGGGCTGGTATTAGATACTTAGTAGTTGGTACATCCACCAGTTTATTAGTCAGATCTGACAGCAAAAAGAATCTAATATGGTTGTATGGTTGTCTATATGTTCAGCTTACCTGTCTGTGTCTGCTGGTGTGTGTGAGTGGGGGGCTGGATGAAGGGGGAGGGGGGCGAGCGTAGTTGTGCATACAGCGGTCTGGTCTGTCTGTCATCAGGACTGCATGTTGCTGGGGACTCCTGAGGAACAATATAGGACAAGTACTTAGGGACATTATGTTAACATTAACAACACTTGTCAACTTGAGATGTACATGCCTGGCTGGTATAATATACTTTCTTCCTTTCTTTGAATTCTTACTTCTGGTAAGGCCACAATAATTTAATTTGTTGGTTCACAGATTCACCAGCTTAATTTTTTTCTGAGTTGCAAAAAAAAACATAAAACATTTCAGCCCCTGAAAATGCTCATATTTTAGCCCCAACAGTTGAGTAAGTCCCTTCTCTTCAGTTTTTACAGTTTTTCCATCAATCAATGCAGATCAATGTTTGAATTACTGATGTTTGATATGTTGACTTCATGGCTCCTATCATACATTTGTAGCATTTGGGGCTATCATAGGATGCCTAGTATTGTTTTTTTAATTTTTTTGACCTGTCACTTCATATTTTTTCTAAAAAAATCAGAGAACCTACAAATCAAATTGGTATGGCCTGACAGAAAAACAGGTACTGGCTAGAGCCGTGGATGGTATACATACCTCCTGTGAGAGTGATGGGTTGTCTTTGGCATGAGAGGACTCTGAGGTGAGGTGGCAATGATGGCAAGTTCAGCCAGCCAGTTGATATTGGTAGCTGCTTCCTGTGGTAACATAAACACAAAAAATTAAATATTGTGCGTCCAGTTTCAGTCCTAAAGGTTCGGTAGGAAGGAAGTCTCTTAAAGCTTTTTAGTTTAATTGTGTGTTTAGATATCTAGAAGCAACTTGTTGCTGATGACTGGACCAAAAATGCTACATGGTAGCAATCCAAATGCACAACTACTACAAATAAAAAACAAACAAACAAACAAACAGCTACATGTATCTGATACAGCCATGTCCTGACCTGACGTTGGCTGTCCTGCTCCCTCTGTACTGACTGGTGATGTGACACATCTGCAGGCAGTCTGGCAGCGAAGGAAATACCAGCTGATGTCACGTTTGGTGCTGTGAAGGGTGGAGGCTCATCTAGAGAGGAAAACAAGATGAGAATAAGATATCAAACTTGTTTGTCTCAACACAAAGAATTGTTCTCACCGAGAGCTTTTGACCAGTGACTCTGGACTTCTTCAATAGAATGACCCAGTGAGACTTGTCACAAAAACTTGCCTTCATTACAAAATCTACATGGTCATGAAAGTTGAACAAATGACTAAACACACAGAGTATGGTATGGCGAATGATGGATTCTTCATTTTTATTTCTTTGCATTGCCTTCTTTTCCAATGGAATTGATTTTGACACTGTACAACATAAGTATCATTCTCCAATAGTTACTTGCAATCTACAGCATACATTTTGCAGCTGCTTTGTATGATTTACAACTTATGGTCGAAAAATTTTTTTTGAAACAGACCAAACTTTGTGTCATTCATATAACCAAATTAATATTTTTAACTTAATAAAAAATAATCTAAAGAAATAAAAAAATAAACCCACCATCAGGTGAAAACTCCTCCTTGTCCTGTGTCAGCTCTGGAGTATCACAATCCTCACGGCACAACAGATCCAACTCCTCTGTCTCTCTGTTCTCACTCTCCATGTACATTCTGACGTACTTTGACAAGTTCACAGGTATGACAATGTGCAACAATAATATGGGTAGAGCCTTGGAAAACTGTGTGAAACTGTGTAAAAGAAATCCTTGCGGCACCTTTTACTCATGGCATCTGTGGGAGGAAAAACAAAAGTTTCTTATTAAAGTCTTTTTTTATATTCCAACATATATTATAATCACAAGAAGCCAGGTGACAACACACTTAAGTTATATCAACTCATATTAATGCCGCCACCAATACAGGGGACAATACAATATTCATTTTCACCTGAGCAAAGTGAGAAAAGTCGTGTTAAGTGCCTTTCGCAAGGGCACAAGATCGGTGGCATGTCAGGAATCGAACCCGGAACCTCTTGGTTCCAAGTCGAGCACTCTGCCACTATGCCACACGACCCCAACAATTAAAGTTCTCATGCATGACTTTGCAATTTCTATTTTCCATCCTTGGCTGGAAAAATTGAATGCAACTATGCACTAGCTTGGAGACAACTAGTAACATTTTAATTACAATGTATTATTAAACAATTGCTCGCACTACTTTTGGTAAGTTTGAAAATTCCCTTTGAACAACAGTACTGTTGTGTAACTACCCATCTGCAATCTGCATTTTGCTGAGAGATTTACAATATTGCAGAAGAAAAATCCTACTGCAATTTTGCATTATCAAGTTGAGAAGGTTGTACTATTGAGGCTTGTGTATTTGCAGAAAGTGTTTCCAAACTGCTGAACAAGATTTTGATTCATCTACAATATTGCACAACATTGAAAAATATTTTTATCAGTAATTGGTAGAAAAAATTCTATCGGTAATACTTAAATGTTACTTAACAGAATTGATAAGTAGTGCTCAAATGAGTAAAAAAAAGCAACTGAATTAAAACCATTGTCACAATTAAGGTACATTAATTAATAGAATTGATATGTTGTGCTCAAATGAGTTTAAAAAGGAAGCAACAAATAAAAACAGTGACAAAATGTGACGTTTCTACCATAAAAATGACCTTGATCCTAAGTATTTCGCGAGTAGTGTTTCAGTGTGTCAGCTGAATACACATTACATTGTATTACATGTAACGTTACTAGTAGTACGTACACTTGGTAGTATGATACTTCTACCTTATGTCCCGTTCCTACACCTTTTTAATACAAGTTGACATAATTCACAGACACTTTTAGCAGACAAGCAACTGTCAACTGGTAATCAAGGGTGACTAGGGTATACTTTTAAGAAGTATGAAGGCAAAATGTTGCCCGATTGAATGCAACTTTTCTTTCAACCGGAACGAACCAGGATCCTTATACACCATTCACACAACCTCTCACGTCGTATCGAAGCACTTAAAACCTCGTATTTCTATCCTCAAACACACTACAACACTATAATCTACCACTAAACGTGAAAAAGGTAAAGTTTCATTCATTTCTATCCGGTTGTCAGCGAGTTGTGACATGCCTCCGAGCGATTTTCCATTCAAAAACCGTACCCGGGCAACTTGAGTTGAATGAAAAGTTTTGACAGGATTCCAATGAATAGGGTCCTATTGTCAAATTTTCGGACGCCTCTTAAAACGTTCTAAAACGAATACAACGCTTAATTTTTAGTGCATACGTTTGATGGATCAATTATCTACGATTTCTGACAGGAAGAGCTTGGTGATAAGGTTTTGTTTAGTTGCAAACGGCGAAAGAAAAGTTTAAAGGGACAAGCTACTCACCTTCACTGACGCCATTTTCTTTGTTGTTAGCTGGAAACGCATGCGCGTCGGCAAGGTTATTTCGTCACGTGACTTTTGAGGTGATCGTATTACGCGGAAGAGACCAAATTTTGGATAGGGGTGTGAGTCAAAAGAAATTAACAGAAATGGTACCAAAAAAAGAAAGAAAATTGCCAGAAAATAACACTAATTGAGACAAAATTAACAGAAAATGATACAAAAAGAAGAAAATGTAATCGGCATCGTTAAAAGATATTCTATGTAACGTTAATGATCTTTAAATAAAATAAATAAAAAAGGAATGATAACTTGATATTAAACCAAAGTAAATTCCCTCTGCTAACAACTTGGTCTGTTTTGACCGAGACAAAAAAGAGAAACATTTATAAAGAAATGCAATTGCTTTATACATTATAATTTTTTATATGCAAAGTGTTTGGGATTTACCAAGGAGGTTGACTCCAAAAAAATAAATATGAGCCATGAAATCGCTTCGGATTTTTGTTCCAGTGTTTTTTTTTTAAATAGTTCATTTAAACTCATCACTTTGCATAAGTTGAAGATGTATCCTATGTATGCACAATTTCAACTTATTCTCGCTTCTTGTCTTTTAATAAAATCCACGTTGTGAAGCTGCCCGACAGATACTCTCCAAGCAGAGGTTTGGGTTTGGAGTTATTTTGGCGTGTTTTTTTGGCTTTTTTTATCGGAGTTTCTCTTTTGCACTGGATTTTTTTTTCACCCAACCCAACCAACATCCAGCGCAAAAGAGAAACCCCGATAAAAAAAGCCTAAAAACACGCCAAATATAACCCCAAACCTCTGCTTGGAGAGTACTTGAATGGCTTTTGCCACCCCTCAGGATGGATTTGGTACAGTCTAATTTAGTCATTACACGGCGTGCAACAACCTGCCCGACACACAGAGAATCATCATGGCGACCTGTGTCGGACCGTGCATGGACAATGTTCTTCTTATTACAGACTCCTACAAGGTAAAATAACCTCACAACCACGTCTTAGACAACGTGTCTTAAGTGCAGAAGGCAACTGGATACTTCTGTGGCCGAATGAGAGCGTAGAAAGGCCGCTATGATGTCTTAACTTTGTTGTTTTTGAGGCGTGGCTGGGTGTAGTTAGTCCGACTACTGTCACCAAATTTCTTGACAGCAAAAAAAAACCTCGCAGGAAAAAGTATATTTCCCATGGCTTGGTTCCACCTTTAGAGAATGTAACATGCCGTTACGTTGTTCTCTTACATTGTGGATGTTTGTGATTTAGACGTAGATGGTATGAAAGGAAGATGTAATCATTTCTACAGACACGCAAAGATGAAGTAGTCCAACAACTATAAACATGTAGGGAGGGAGGGGGGCGGCGAAACAGGAACCGAAACTAAGAGTAAGACAAGTACAAAGATCATAAACACGTATAGTCAAGGTTTGGTACCATAGAGAGAGGTCCAATGTCGCTAGAAAATTCTTAAGAAGACCAAGACTTTAACTTGTCTCTCTGTTATCTCTTTGACATTAAAACTGCATTTTGCAGAGTAAGCAAGGAGCTTGTAAAACCACAAGTTACATATCTTATATGCATGCATGTGTTGTATAATTTTGGACCATGTTTCTACATGTTTACGTCTCATTGCCCCTGATATTACTTTGAAGACCTGATTAAAATCACCACTCTCTTGATCATAGCTTAATGAGGGCCTGTGTAACAGTGCTAACTGACCATGCTATTAATGGTCATGCGACCTTTTAGTGTAATGGTTAGCGTTGGTGACCGCCAAGCGGACAACTCGGGTTCGATTCCCGGTTGTGACATGCTCGCCCCTTTCGGTTTTTACAGTGGCGCCCGATGTGGGCCCTGTGAGTACTGGCACTGAGGATAAGTGTGGCAGCTCCAGGGATGTCGGACTCGGAAGATTCGAGGACGAATCTTGAAAGAAAAGGGGGAGTAGTGTAACAGTGCTAACTGACCATGCTAAATGGTCGTGCGACCTTTTAGTGTAATGGTTAGCGTTGGTGACCGCCAAGCGGACAACTCGGGTTCGATTCCCGGTTGTGACATGCTCGCCCCTTTCGGTTTTTACACCTGCATGAGGGGGTCCCGACCACGCTCTACGCTAAATTTTGAGAGCCGGCTACACATTACGCAGTCGCTACAGTAGCGATTACTCTTTATGATAAATTCTAAGTGGCTACAACGCATTACGTGGAATTAAATGCGAATTACGCTCTACAAAATACGGCAATTACGCTCTACGTTGAATTAGATCGGTCCGTCTACGCTCCACATAGAATTAAAATGGAAAAGGGCATGCAGGCCCCGTTACTGTATGTTGTAATTTAACTTAAGCATGTTGTATAATTTGAGGACCAAGTTTTTACATGTTTGCTTCTCATTGCCCCTGGTATTACATTGCTTAATGCCCTTTTTGGATCATCACTCTTTGAATTTGACTACTGGTAGTCATACTGATGACAGAGCAGATGATGAGTAAGATATTGATGATGATAAGCATGTTTGAAAAATGTTTCGTCATCCATGACACAAAGATATTTTTAAAAAAAGAAGATTTTTAGGAATTGTAATGATTTGCAGACAATTTTCATTTGGGCCCTCCTAGCAAAGAGATTTAAAAACTTGTCTGAATCTGAACTGTTCCACCAAGCCATCATTTCCCATTCCCAAGATGCAAAGTGCCATAGGGTAAAAATTCCCAGGACTCACGGCATGTTCCTGTGTTTTACATTTGTTGATGACAGAATCAATCGTAAAAAAATGATGGCTGGTCCCTTAATATTCATGTGCTTCAAAGAATTTTAAGTTTTAATTTAAGATATTTTTGAATGCAGACCTTTATCAGGATTAGACCACTGAGAGTATCAACTGTTAATTTCAGTGCATGAAATAAAGTTATCCTTTTTTTCATCCTCTGTAGGTGACCCATCACATGCAGTACCCACCAGACACAACCACAATATTCTCTTACTTTGAAAGCCGAGGTGGGAAGTTTAAGGAGACGGTGTTCTTTGGACTGCAGTACCTTATAAAGAGATGGCTGGTTGGGCAGGTATGTATAGACCCCTTAACTATAGCTGGCCATGGTTTCCAAAATTTGAAGAAGAGATATTATATTTCATTAATGATATTGTAAAAAAAAATACTGTTTTGATTTGTCGAATGTTTATCCTAACTGAACAACTGCAGTATTCAACTCTGGAATCACAGAAAGTTTCGTTCTTGGTGGTGTCCTTATAATTACAAAATTTTCTCCCTCGGTCTTGTTCATGGAATGGACCCTTCTTAGTGCTGCATACCGGTTCACTGGACTTGGATCCGGACTTGGAAGAATGTTTAGGTTCAAGTCCAAAAAAACCTAAAAGTCAAGAACCGAGTCCGGACTTATTACCATAAAAGACCATTTCACATACCCCTTTTCTTTCCAAACATCCTAAAACCTTCCATAGATTGCAAAATCTTTGCTGCAAAATGAAGAAAACATTGCCATCAGGCATCGTCAAGTACCGGCCTCCATGTTATGTGGCCAAAGTTTCACCCAGACAACATTGCAAGGTTGCCTACATGCAATTTTGTATATGCCATGGGTTTAGGTTCGGACTTACAAGTCCGGAACTGAACCTAAACCTCTGGACTTGAATCCGGACCTGAACCTAAAATTGGGTTTAGGTATGCAGCACTACTCCATACTAATGTTACATTTCTTCACATGTTATTGCACCGTTGTACAACTTGTAGGTTGTCACAAGGGAAAAGATTGCAGAGGCTAAGGATATCTACAAGAAACACTTTAAACAGGATGTCTTCAATGAGGAAGGGTGGAACTATATCGTAGAGGTAAGTGTAGCTGTTATCTACATGTAGCCTGGAATGTGTGGAATACTTCTTCTTGGAGGTTTGAGGAGGCCAACATTAGCATCTGCTTTGAGGCCTTGAGTAACATTTTTTTTACCAAAAATTGAAATATCTTAATGTTTAAAGAAATATTCATGTAATTGTAATTACTATAGTACTAGTACATCAACTTTTCCACATATTTGTTGAAGTCTCACACTTCTGACATTTACAACAAAACACTCATTTTGTGGCACCACCACAAAATACCAGAATGTAAACAAACATGGCTGACAGCTGTGTTTCCGGCTTTGAAACACACTCACAAGGACTGTCATATTTTCGCCCCCCCCCCACTTCCTACAGTGGAGTATCATTGATTCAACTTTAAGAAATGACCAGAAATTATACTTTCTGTATTCAATTTGTTGTAATGTTACATGGGAGTCTCCCCAAAAATTCTTAGGGGAGAGGTGCTCGAGCTCCCTAATCGGTTGATGAAAAATCAGCAAATTTCCATTTAATACATGTACTAAGACTAGTTAGGCCACACCAATTTAATTTCTTGGTTAACGGATTTTTCTAGAAAAATAATGGAGCGGGCGAGCGAAAAAAAATAAAAACAGGCCTAGGCATCCTATATAATAGCCCAAAATGGTACGATAAGAGCCATGAAGTCAAGACACCAGGCTGGTTCAAAATTTAAACGATGAATTCTGAACTTTTAATGATACCATTGCATTGAAAGATGGAATAACTGTAACAACTAGGATGAAAAGGACAGTTTTCAGGGCACAATATGAGCATTTTGCAGTTGATTCTGAATTTTTATTTTTATTTGCAAATCAGTGGGCAAATCCGTTAACCAAGAAATTAAATTGGTGTGGCCTTAGGGAAAAACCTAAACTTGAACATTTTGGGAGAGGTGCTGCCATGATTTGGGGGATTGGGGGAGCTTTCAATGCGTTTACAGAAGTTTGCAGTCAAATCTTAACAGTGCAAAGTATTGAGGAGATGTTTTTTCGGGATTGCCATTACAAATTGAGTGGCACCCAGGGTAGTGGTAAACATTAGGCAGCTGCTATTGGTGGAGCTAATATAATCAAATCAACATGGCCTTACAAATGTCTGTTCTGAAACATTAGGCAGCTGCTATTGGTGGAGCTATATAATCAAATCAACATGGACTTACTGAATGTCTGTTCTGCTGAAACATTAGGCAGCTGCTATTTGTGGAGCTATATAATCAAATCAACATGGCCTTACTGATATCTATACTTGAGAATTGACTGGTATTCTTTGTCCCCAGCACCATGGAGGAAAGTTGCCGCTGCTCATCAAAGCTGTACCAGAGGGAACAGTCGTCCCAGTCAAGAACGTCCTCTTCACTGTGGAGAACACAGACCCTAAGTGCTTCTGGCTTACCAACTGGTTTGAGGTAAGAAAACTGAGTAATAATACTCACTGGTAACCTTTGTACAGATATACAAATGCCCAGACTTTATTACAAAATTTTTTTTAACCGAATTTTACGTCATTTTTCCCCAACTGGGGGTTAGACGTGCTTGCACCAGGTACAAGTATTTTTTTGAAGCAAGATTTTTACGGCTGGATGCTCTTCCTAACGCCAACCCAAACCCTAGTAGGGCCCAGGAACCCTCTAACTGAGGGGGGAAATGCGTGTTAAGTGCCTTTCCCAAGGGCACAACGTCTTGGTGCATGTCCGGACATGTCTGGGGATTGAACCTGGGTCTTCTTGCTTGACAGTCGGACGCTCTATCCACTACACCACACAGACGCCACAATGACTACATAGTACATGTAATAAACCGGTGGATGTACCAACTACTGAGTATCTAATACCAGCCCAGAAAAGAGCAAGAAACAGTCATGTCTTCAAATATGTTGGGCATCAAGGAGAAGAAGAATATCAGAGTTATCAACCAAGAATTGAGGTGTTCAAAAACTCAAATTTTCCAAGAACTATAATTGAACTTGTTGCCACCAAGTACAGTTGGAACTTGGAGCATCATCACTACATGTAAACAGCTTTAAACAACACCTTCAGTTAAATGTACAAATTATTACAGGTCGTTCGGTGTAATATAGCTAGCCGCCACCGCGCCACGTGCCTGCGAGGCTGGTTTTACACCAATAACGTTACAGACACAGGCTATACCAATACAAATATCCCTTTGTAGGGCTCAAAATAGTTTTTTTCTACACACCTGCATTAGTGCAGATAACCTGCACCAGTAGTGCTGTGTACCGGTTCACTGGACTTGGATCCCGACTTGTAAGAATGTTTAGGTTCAAGTCCAAAAAAAAACAAAAGTCTGAAACACCGAGTCTGGACTTATTACCATAAAAGACCATTACACCCCTTTTCTTTCCAAACCACCTAAAACCTTCTGTAGATTGCAAAATCTTTGCTGCGACTGCGGGCATCAACAAGTACTGGCCTCCATGTTATGTGGCCAAAGTTTCACCCAGACAACATTGCAAGGTTGCCAACATGCAATTTTGTATATGCCATGTGTTTAGGTCCGGACTTGAACCTAAACCTCTGGACTTGAATCCAGACCTGAACCTAAATGTGGGTTTAGGTATGTAGCACTTATGCACCAGACAAATTTTACCTGCACCACTCAGACATTGACTTTGAGAAGACAGTATGGATCCTATTAAAAACTGTTCAGTATGTAGTAAGATTAAAGGAGAAGTTGGATCCCGTTGTTACAGACACTACTGGTACAAGTGTGGTACCCGATGACTGTCGCCACAAACTCCAGAGAACAGAAGAAAATCATCGCCAACTTCCTACACGAGACGGCAGACAACATGGACGGACTGCCGTTCAAACTACACGACTTCGGCTTCAGAGGAGTGTCAGCTGTTGAGGTAATATTATCACTAATAAAAATTGTTTAACAGAACAGAATTGTATTGTTAGTTCTTGCTTGACATTGAGCAGTAATTTCTGTATTTAGACTGTCTTAAACATGTCTCTTCTTTTCTGTGATTCTTGTTATTTGATTCATTGATTCTATGGCGAAAAATAGACTCTTCATTTTTATTTCTTCATATTTTCTTCTTTTCCTTTGGACCCGAATTTGGTATTCTATGAGTATGACATTAGTATTGTTTTCCATAATATTCTTGCAATAAATGGCATATATTTGCTCATTTTGCAGCTGCTCTGTACAATTTACAGTATGGTCAATAAATTTGTAGTCAAATCAACATGGCCTTACTGAATGTCTGTTTTGAAACAATAGGCAGCTGCCATTGGTGGAGCCATATAATCAAATTAACATGGCCTTACTGAATGTCTGTTCTGAAACAATAGGCAGTTGCTATTGGTGGAGCCATATAATCAAATCAACATGGCCTTACTGAATGTCTGTTCTGAAACAATAGGCAGCTGCTATTGGTGGAGCAGCTCACCTGGTTAACTTCATGGGGACAGACACCATCGCGAGTCTGGTCATGGCACGGAAGTACTACGGAGCAGACATGGCGGGATTCTCTATTCCAGCCGCTGAGCACAGGTTAGTACCAGACGATGTAATTTCAGAGGCAAAACCACTGAACCAACGTTGCTGAATAGTGCTACGGTTAGTGCTGTGTACCGGTTTGCTGGACCGGTTCTGGACTTATTTTTAGGTTCAACTTCAAGTCCAAAAAAAAACTTAAAGTCAGATTCCAGACTTATCATGAAAAAAAAACATATCACATACCCTTTTTCTTTCCAAACCACCTAAAACCTTTGATAGATTGCAAAATCTGTGCTGCAAAATGAAGAAAACAATACGTCGGGCATCGTCAAGTGTCAGGCTCCATGTTATGTGGCCACAGTTTTGCCCGTACAACATTGCAAGGTTGCCAACATGCAATTTTGTATATGCCATGAGATTACATGTAGGTCAACTTACAAGTCCAGAACTGAACCTAAACCTCTGGACTTGAATCCGGACCTGAACCTAAATGTGGGTTTAGGTACACAGCACTAGCTACGGTTTACTGGACCAGTTCCAGTAAAAAAAACTGAATGTTGGAAACCAGTTGAAAACAAAATCATGTCACATTCCCTTTTTTTGTTCTAAACCACCAAAAGCCTTTAGAATCCATTGATACATCAAAAAATCTGCGCTGCAAAGTGAGGAAAACATTGCCAGCCTCTGTAATTATGTGGCCATAGTTTCACCCAGATGTGTTGTGCAAACAATACATCTTGATTATATATTGTATTGTTTTTAAACCCTGGTAGTGCAGTATGCACTACAAAATTTTTGCTAACATGCAATTATGTACAAATACAGTACATTGTATGTGCAATCTAATACTCTAAACCTCATATGACATGATCAAATGAGACACCAGATCACTATTTATTGCACTGCAAATTTTATAATACTGAAATTCCAAAATGTTGTTATCCATATCTTGCCTTCATCTTGAAAACATACTCCCTTCCGATCCACTCAACGCAAATGACGCCACATTATGTACTTTACTTCTTACAGGTAGCCCCTCCCTCCCATACTCTACTAACTGCCGTATCTTTGATATTGTGTTCAACTATATCCATCACTCTGGAAGATTTGACCAATCTCCTTAATGTTATGTTATAGGTATTGGTGCGCCAGCCACTTTCATTTAATGTTTATGTTATACTTTATGTCATCTTTATGTTTACTTTTGTATTATGTTTTATGAGCAGCGGATTCACACAAGCACAACAAATGCTTCCTATCCAATGCTCAAAAATCCATGTGAATAAAATAAAAAAAATAAAATAAAATAAACCTCAGGACTTGAATCCAGACCTGAACCTTAACATGAGTTTAGCCCATCATGGCCCCCAGCAGGCTTTTTTTAAAAGCAGTTCTTTTTTTTTCAGTACAATCACAGCTTGGGGAAAGACTGGTGAACTGGAAGCTTTTAAGAACATGTTGACGAGATTTCCCAAAGGCCTGGTGGCCTGTGTAAGTATGGAACATCTTGGATGATTCTCTAGTCTCAGCTACTCTTAGGGTGAAGATTGTCTTTTCTCTGCCAGTAGCTATCATACTGAAGGAATAGTTGGGATTGTTGCAAATGAGTGTTTGACTGAGAACCATAGATGTGTGTCAGCAAAATCCCAGAGATGTGAGACATTCCTGTGGACATTCCATTCCTGTGGACAAAATGCCTGTACAATTCCTAGAATTTTTGCAAACTGCACACAATACTGTACCATTAGGCTCCCCCCTGAGGCGTCGCCGAAAACACTTAAAATTCTGTGCATATTCTGCTGCTGCCAACGAAGCCAGGCCAAGAGAAAGAATCAAAGTGATCTTGATCCAGTTTAGCTCAATGAAGAGCTAATAATCCCCCACTGGTTGAAACGCTATTTACAGGTTCATTGTACTGGGGAAATTCCCCCCTAGCTCTTTTCGACAAACACAATGAACAGTGGACCACAGCTTAACATCCTGTCCTAAGGACTGCGACCATATACAGTAGCATGCATGTCGGGTGAGCGACAACAGTTGGGATTCGAACTCCCAACCTCTTGGGACAGAGGCAGGGTTGCTAACCACTGGACTATGCACGCTACACTCATGTTAATGCCTGGCATGTGACTGCACCTGCAGGTGAGCGACAGCTACGACATCTGGAACGCCTGCGAGAACCTGTGGGGGAAGGAGCTGAAAAACCTGATTGTGAAGAGAGGAGAGAGTAACTCTACTCTAGTCGTCAGGCCAGATTCCGGAGAGCCTGCTGATGTAGTCGTTAAGGTAAGAACATACAGGTGTTTGACATACTAGTAGATGTACACTCAGGGTTTGAAATACTGGGTGCATGTGCAGCTTAGTGCACCCAAATTTGGAGCTGTGCACCCAATTTTTTTCTGTGGATGCACCAGTGCACCCAAATATTTTTATGGGGTTACGTATGTAAAGATGCATGTATAGTAGTATAAAGCATGTCCTTAAATTCTAAGCGTCAGAAAAATACTAAAATCATTGCAGTAGTACTTTTCTTTAGAAATGAAACATAATTAGTTTTTGCTAACATTCTACTTATTTTATTTTATTTTATATGGTGCACCCAAAAAACTTTTTGTGCACCCAATTTTATAGGTTGGGTGCACCAGTGCACCTATTCCCAAAAATGAATTTCGAGCACTGACACTGTATGCTCTTAGTGCTGTATGGTTGTACAGTCAAGTGTTTCAAAGGTGCCCAATGCAGTTTTTAGGGTTTGAAGTTTCATAGTTACATACCTCAAGTTCCAATTACTCAGGCCATTTAACGTTACAGAATCTGATGTATTTGTGTGTGCATAAAACATCTTTCAGCACCAAGGACAGACATGACTGGCATGGATGTACATGTACTGTATTTAACAACACTATTCCAATGTATAAGAGGGGATAATGGTTTAAGGGGTACACAATGTCATGTACATGTAGTGGTACCACACAAAAAGTAAAGGACTTGTTTCTGCACTGTTTTAAATGCCCAAAGCATGAAATACTGATACTTGGTCACTGCTATTGTGTGGCACTGCTATTGTCACTGCTATTGTGTGGCAGTTTGTGTCAATATCATACAGAAACATGTACAAACACACACTGACGTAGTGAAATTTTTACAATACATTTTCTGATAGAAGCTTGCTTTGTCTTCCCCATAGGTACTAACCATCCTCGGCAAGGCCTTTGGAACACAGAAAAATTCCAAGGGATATAAAGTCCTGCCTCCATATCTACGTATCATCCAGGGAGACGGTATCAGCTATGAGACACTAACTGGCATTCTAGGTAAGTAGAATTGTTGATTGGTGTATTAAATTTGTCTATACAATTTTGTATGACAAAGTTAAAACTTAAATTTGATCCAATACAAAGAAGTTCTCTCACCTAAAACTTTCGAACCAGTGACTCTGGTCTTCCTCAGTAGACTGACCCAGTGAGGCTTGTCACGTGGCTTCTTTGAAGTGTGACGTCAACACTGGGTCAAAGGTATCTGGTAAACGAGTGTTGGTGTCAGTTAAAGTATCATAGGCTGGTTCTAGCTATTTATAGGTGGTACCCAAAAATAAAGGTACACCTCATCACATGGCTTGCTTTGGGGATATTTCAAACACTTCCAGTATGAAATGTTTTTTGTCTAAGGCCACACCAATTTAATTTCTTGGTCAACAGATTCGCCCGCTTCATTTTTTTCTGATTTGCAAATAAAAATAAAAAATCAGAATCAACTGCAAAATGCTCATATTTTGCCCTGAACAGTTGAAAACAGTCCTTTTCTTCCTGGTTGTTACAGTTATTCCATCTTTCAATGCAGTGGTATCATTAAAAGTTCAAAATTCATTATTTAAATTTTTAAGAACCTGGTGTGTTGACTTCATGGCTCCTATCGTACCATTTTGGGCCATAATAGGATGCCTAGGCCTGTTTTTATTTTTTTTTCGCCCGCCTGCTCCATTATTTTTCTAGAAAAATCCGTTAACCAAGAAATTAAATTGGTGTGGCCTAACCTCCCTGAAATTATATTAGATGCCTTTAATTATATTCAAGCAAGGTGTTGTTGTTTTAGCAATCAAGACAGTTTTAAAAAATGAATTTAAAATGTTTTTTATTACAATGTACATCACAGAGAGGATGAAGAAACTGGAATGGAGTGCAGACAACATTGCCTTTGGCAGTGGAGGGGCTCTGCTACAGAAGCTGAACAGGGACACTCAGAAATGTGCTTTCAAGTGCAGCTTCGCAGTGGTGAATGGGGAAGGGGTAAGTAGCCTGGATGGAAGCACTGATCAATGTAAACCCACAGGGAGTGCACTGAGTAGGTGGGGGGGGGGCTTTGACACTATGTAAAATAGGAGCATAGGAAATTGAAAATAGGTGTATATTGAAATATGAGATATGAGTTCTTGTCACACAACCAAGAGGTTAATTCAGCTGACGTTTCGGTGACCGTCTGTCACCTTCCTCAGGGCAATTCTGACTGGTTCACATTGCACTGCAGTACGGGTGTCGATGCTATAGATGCATTCCCAAATGTGAAGTATATATTACATATCTACACGGTTATAGGGAACTGTATCTACTTTGTGGTCAGTGTAATATGTACATGGTACATAAAAAGAGTCTCTTTTTATTCAGTGACTTAAAAAAACCTGAGGAAACTATTCACGGAATACAAAGAGCACTTTGCATCATCCACTACTCCAATAGATACAAACTTTAAAGTGCAGTCCTAGAGCCACATGTACAATGTGTACGTACTGTCTTCTTCAGACAAAAGTTCTCATTGGATGATTTATGTGTCAACTCCAGGTGGATGTGTTCAAGCAGCCAATCACAGATCCCGGCAAGAAGTCCAAAAAAGGGCGGCTGACTTTGGAGCTACAGAACGGGAAATATGTGACTGTACAGGAGGGACAGGGTGACCCAAAGAAGGTAACAAGCATAAGTCTTCCCTCTCTTTCTCTGTCTGTCTGTCACTCTCTCTCTCTCTGTCTTGGTTCTCCTGTCGCCTTTCATGTGTGAATACAGTCTGATTTTGGACGAACAGTCTCTGTGACTGAAGCTGCATATGAAAGAAAATAACAAACATTAATTGATTCCTGATGTAATGGCAGGTTGCTTTAGGCCAAGAAAAAAATGCTGTACATGTATTTCTGGTTTTCTGACCGACCCTAGCAAAATCCCAACGACCCTAGTCTGGTAAGACTATAAAATTTTCGAACTGACATCTGAGTTTCAAACTGGCTGAATGAGTCTGAAAAATCATGTCAGAAGCAATTTTTCTTCAGTACATCAGGTCAAAATATTTGTCTACAAGCTAAGGCTTTATTTGTGGGATCATTTTTGCCGAAATCTAAAGAAAGAAAAAGAAAATCCTTACCTACAGACCCTACTTTTGTCACGGCTGAAAACACAACAATCACACAACAATCACACACAATCACGTTACTTTTCCTGGACCTTTCCAACTGTTCAGGTTGGGTACACCAGTGCACCTACATGTACATCTATTCCCAAGAATAAATTTTGAGCCCTGACTTAGAATATTTCCACTATTTTCTGTTGTACAGGACTTGCTCGTACCGGTGTTCAAAGACGGAGAACTCCTAAAGGATTACACGTGGCAGGAGGTCCGCGAACGAGCCGAGATTCCACAGGTTCTGGAACAGAAAAAGAAAAAGAACGCTACGAAATAGTGACATAGCAACCCTCTGTTTCTGTATGGGACCCTTTTGCAGGGCTCTAGCCAGCACCTGTTTTTCCATCAATTGCAGGAACTTTGTTAGGAGTGGGGGTTTGGTGGTCTTCGGCTGTTTTCTGATTAGCCCAGTTCTAAAAAACGGGGGTAATTCAACCAGGCCGGCTATGTTGTCTGTATGCAATCAGAAAATAGCACATAAAAGCTCCCAAAGACCCCCAAAACCCTCAATTTTTGGCCTGCTATCATGGAGGCTGAAAATTTTCAAGCTAATCCGTCAACCCTGACACAGTCTTGGCAAAATCTTGGGTAGGAATTATATAAAAACATCCAAAGGACCAACAACAACCACTCTCAACCCCATGATTTGCCTTTCAAAATGTGGGAAATTGCGTTTTTAAAGGCTTGGAAACCCAAAATTTGCCCCCGGACCCTCCTATATTGCGAGAACACTCCCTCCAGGTCCAATCACGAACCTGGGCTGATAGAAAAAAATTCCAAGCTGGCTAGAGCCCTGTCCTCTTGTACACATACTTCTCAGCAGTGAACATGTTTATCAGAATTTTTGTATTTCAAAAATTTCCATTAATAGTTGGTCTTTTTCTCCAAATGTCACAGATATTTTGTACCTTCATTTTCTCACTGTTTAGGAAAGACTTTGTAAATAGCAAAGTGAAAAATGTTTGATTTCATTTCACGAGTTTGTATGGTAGGTGGGTATATGGTTGTTTGATTTGATGATTTTGATGAGTGTACATATTCCTGAATCATGCAAAAAGTATCATTTATTGTACTTTGCAGGATGCCATTTTAAAGATATAAATATAAGTAGTAAAAGAATCTGGCTGTGAAGAAACTGGGTGAAAGTTGAAAGTTGGTGGTCATTAGTATAAAGAATGATAATTTTTGACACAGATTGTGTTCAGTTTGTAACTTAAGGCCACACCAATTTAATTTGTTGGTTCTCGGATTCGCCTCTTTGTTTTTTTCTGATTTGCAAAAAAAAAAAAAAAATTGATTCTGGTCCTGAATCAACTGAAAAATGCTCATGTTTTGCCCCAAACAATTGAGGAAAGTCCTTTCTTCCTAGTTGTTACAGTTTTCCCATCTATCATTGCAGTGGTTTGATTAAAAGTTCAAAATTCAATGTTTAAATTTTAACCCAGCCTTTTGTGTTGACTTCATGGCTCATTTCATAGCATTTAAGCCTATAATAGGATGCCTAGACCTGTTTTTATTTTTTATTTTTTTCGCCCTGTCGCTTCATATTTTTTCTGAAAAAATCCGAGAACCAACAAATTAAATTGGTGTGGCCTAAGGCCTTGTCACACATTCACGATTTGCCCTCCTGACATTAACCAAACGCCTCCTGACCATGATTAGGAGTATGAGCATAAAGTTCATCTGTGTTGGTATAATTCATTATGACCAAAAGGGCTAAACGTTCAGACCAGCACTGAGTAAATTGGGACTTAACAAAATTTTCTCCCTCGGTCTTGTTCATGGAATGGACCCTCTGGAATGTGACGGTTGGCCCAAATGTACACCGCCTCATTTACTCCTCTCGCAAAGGAATCCGATTCTGAGTCCAGAATTTTCACTTTGTGCAGCTAGACGGAGCGCCCTGGAGATTATATGTTGAGATACTTCTAAACGAATAGAACTCGGGCGTTGGTGTTCCAGAAAACATGTTTTTAACGAGTGTTCTGTTTCACCGATGTATGGTTAGGAGTATTTCGGTGCAAAGTCGGCTGGTGTTCAGCCAGGTCGGCTACTGTTCGGCTGCGCCAGCCAAATGTTTCAAAACGTTTAAAACATACAGGGGTTGGCCGGAGATTTGATCAAGGTTGGCTGAATGTGTTTAGCTGCAAGTCATCAGAACACCAGCCAACCATTCGGTAGTAAGTCAGCAGGGTTGGGGTTGTGTTTTGGGCGTCAAATTTGACTCAAATTTAACTCAAATTCATTTTGATTCGTATAGAAAGGCAGGCATGGCCTAAATCTAGTCCAAATGCTCCTGAACGCAAGCTGAACCTGGTCGGCTGGAGTTTGGGAACAAATTCGAGGGAAGGTTGTGAATGTGTGAGAGGAACTTTACCGAGAAATTCCATAGTACATGTTTTAGTTCAGCTTACTCTTACCCATGAGGATAAGGCCACACCAATTCAATTTGTGGGTTCTTGGATTTTTTTCTGAAAAAATATGAAGCAACAGTAAGGAAGAAAAGGACTTTCCTCAACTGTTGGGGGCAAAATATGAGCATATTTGAGTTGATTCAGAACCAGAATCTTTTTTTTATTTGCAAATCAGAAAAAAATGAAGAGGCGAATCCGAGAATCAACAAATTAAATTGGTGTGGCCATATATAGTAATGTTTGTTTTTATAATGAGATCAAAAGATGCTTTAAATAGCTGCCAATATGTATTATCAAAACCCTAGTAGACAACAAATGTAGTCAATTCATTTATACTGCTTAGTCAACAAGAAATGGATAAACTGTATGCAATATTTCAGTGTTGGAGAGAGATGTATAAAATGTGTGTTGGGAACAGGTGAATGGAGGGGGATTTTGCACAGACATTTTCTCATGTTGCCACATGAAAAAGGAGGGGCAATAAAATGTCAATACTGGGTCTTGCCTTTCATGCCATTTTTTAAATAAAGGGTGGTTCACAAAACCTTGTATCATGTCTCCGTTTTGGTTTATATCATTCATATGGGAGCAGTCCACTAACTTTAACAGTGAAATTCTGGTAACACTGTAACATTTAAAGCCAGGTTGAAATCATGATAATATGGATGACATTCTCTGGGGACCCCAAAACTGATACGAGCATGCAAATAATAAAATATTTTGGCAAACAAAAGTTGCCTTCATTATGAAATCATGTGGTCATAAAGGTTGAACAAATGACTAAACACACAGAGTATGGTATGGCAAATAACATTTTCATTTCTTCACATTTTCGTCTTTTCCTTTGGAATTTATTTTGCCGTCATTCTACGACATTAGTACTTGAGTACATTCTTGGGTACATTGAGGTAAAATGATACAGACCAGAACTAGCTACTTCACAAGAATTGTATTGGATACAATTCATAACAGAAATGAAACAATGCAATCCATTAGAATAGTAGACTACCATGATTATTAATACAGGTAAACTACTCTATCTTAATACATCAAGCTAGTTTATATACCAATGGATAGTGCGTCGATACCTTTGATCTCACCGAGAACCATATAACAAAGTCAATCAAATTGGTGTGGCCCTAGGGAACATAAATGATACTACAATAGAGGTAAGCTATTAAAATCTAAGATAGCTAAAATCTTTAACTCCAGATTACATTAATTATGTTTACCGAAGGAAAACATATTGTTTTTACTCAATTTCCTCTTCTTCTTCTCCAAACACTAACCTCTGACCTGGCCAATGGCATAATTTGTTGACGTCTGTCACCATGGTAACTGGTGTTGGGTTACATAATGTTGCAATTTCATGGTCTGCTCTGCTCCTGTCACCATATACTTGTAGTACATGTATGTGAATATGTTTGAGTAAAAATTAACAGGGCAGACCATGTCCGAAGGTAAACATTATGCATTTGCTTTGCAAATGTTACTTCTCTAGTTTTGTAATTATAAATGTAAAAAAAAAACTTGAATGGACAGGTCACTGTCTCTGCCATTTGTTGTGTTGGTTGTCTACAGGTAACCTCTATATACCAGGCTTCACGACTGAAGAGTAGAAATTGGCCAAAAGAGAGATATTAAAACAATAGTGTTGGTCCACTAGAGAGTACAGTTTACTTTCCAGTCACTTTCCGGAGCCTAGAAGAGGCTAACTATAGACATGAAGCCTGTAGACATTGAAGCCTGGTAGAGGCTAGTGTTGGTTGTCTACAGAGACGCCAGCAGTGGACTGCGCAGTGCCTCACGAGCGGCCTGCTCCACCAGACTCCAGTGCTTACAGCGGTCAGCCACGTTATCCCAGGGGTTGGCAGGGTCCAGAACCAATGGGCTGGAAGAAAATTAACATTTATGTAACGTTAAATTTCATTGGCCGGAGTTTGATTTCATCACTTTCATGAGATCACGTTATCCCAGGGGTTGGCAGGGTCCAGAACCAATGGGCTGGAAGAAAATTAACGAGTTTGTTGCAAATTCATGCAAGAGGGCTAATTGTAAGAACATGATAAAATGAAAAACGGTAAAAATAACCATAAACAATTTTGCAAATGCTACATTTGATAAAGTTATTGTTGGGTTTGATTTCTGTGTGCAGTGGAGTATGAAATGCCCCACGTTTTGCGAGATGTATGAATTGGGAGGTGTTATTATAGAAGTGCAGTTTTTGTAGGCTGGGAGGGTGAATAAAGCTGGGGAACATTTTGGTGACCATTTTAAATAACTCGTCTCTTTCGGTCCTGTAATGAGGGCAATGACAAATTGTACTTCATCCTCCACTGCATTTTCTGTACAATATGATAATTAACATTCATGTAAATTTCATTAGTGACTTTGATTTAATCACTTTCATGTGGTACTCATGTGTCCAGGCCTGTGGTTGGTGGTTATAGCCGTCACCATGAATGTTATCATAGAAAGATTATCATTATTATAATGTACGAAACTAGGAAATATGTAGAACATGTCTGTACCTTCCAGTAGACGACAACGTCTCGCGAACCACGGGAAACCTGTCTGAGTAGTAAGTCTTCCACCACGCCCGGAGACTGCTGTAGTTCACCGCCGCCTCCATGACCAGTTTGAAGGCCTGCCGCATGTTGAAGCTCGATGTCGACCCCACCCGCGTTTCACACACGTGGATAGTGATCAACTCCCACAGCCACGAAGAGCCAAGCTTCTTTCCAAATTGGTCATCCTGTGCCTGCAAAAGTTGTGTTTACAGTTAAAACTTTTGTTCCAACACAAAGATTTGCTTTCGACCAGTCACTCTGGTCTTCCTCAGTAGACTGACCCAGTGAGGCTTGTCACGTGGCTTCTTTAAAGTGTGACGTCAACCCTGGGTCAAAGGTATCTGATAAACGATGTCGGCCCCCGTCTCACTGTGCAGGGACTGGCCGAAAGCTCTTGGTGAGAAAATTTACCTTGTGTTGGGTCAAAAGTTTTAACTTTAACACACATAACTGATAGTGTTTGAAGTTTAAACTTTTGGTCCAACACAAAACGTTCTCTCACCTAGAGCTTTCGACCAGTCACTCTGGTCTTCCTCAGTAGACTGACCCAGTGAGGCTTGTCACGTGGCTTCTTTGAAATGTGACGCCACCAATGCATGGGTCAAAGGTGTCAATGTCGGTCATGTCGCTTCAAAGAAGCCACGTGACAAGCCTCATTGGGTCAGTCTCCTGAGGAAGACCAGAGTGACTGGTCAAAAGCTCTAGGTGAGAAAATTCCTTTGTGTTAGATCAAAAGTTTGAACTTGAAGCATGAAACTACCAACACAGATGAACTTTCATAATACTAGTAGTTTGTTAGAAATGTGTTGAAATGTGTCTCAATATTGTACATTTGTTTAAAAAAACTGCAACGCCCAATTTCTAAGTTCTTTAGAAGTCATTGATTTGGCTATCAACACCATGGAAACGCTGCATTGTATGTGTTGAAGACTTGTTTTACTGCTCATGATATACCTTTTTCCAGGACTTGACCAGTCGGATGAGATTCTTCAGTCGAGCGGGACGTTCTCGCACAAACTCGACCTGAAGTCCAACAAAGGACGCAGAGTACTTGTAGGAGTCCTGGCCTCTCATGGACTGGTACACTTCGTTTCGCTTCACTACAGTAGTAGAAAAAATAAAAAGACAAAACCACTTTCAAACTCAAAGGGGTGTCCATACGCTGTCAAAACGCATCATTGTCATGCCCTAAAACACACATACTAAAAAAGCAAAACAACGTGCACCATCTACAGGCCAATAGCAAAACGTATACCAATTCCCAGAAATATCCGTCCACCCAAGCGCGAGAAACGGCTGCGAACGTAAAAAATCTAATCTCCCACAAAACCCGTCCGCGGAGGGATACATCCCTCCCCGGAGGTAATAAAGGAATCGTATGTGTTTTGGCATTAGCCATAGGCCATGTTGATTTGATTATATGGATGACATCCTCCGGGAATCCCAAAACTGATGTGAGCATGCGAAAAAAAATGTTGGGCAAAAGAAGTTCATCACGAAATCTACATGTACGTTGTCATGAAGGTTGAACATATCTGACAGAGCATGGCTAATGATAGACTCTTAGTTTTCATTTCTTCACATAGTATTCTTCTTCGCCTTTAGCATTCTGAGACATTAGTATCGTTTTCCAATATTTTTGTTGCGATTTACGGTATATACTTGCTCATTTTGCAGCTGCTTTGTACGATTTACATACAGTTTGGTGGAAAAGTTTTTTTTAAATGGACGAAAATTCATGCGCGCGCAGATGTCATCCATATAAACAACATGCATGGCTTTAACCCCAATTTTACTAAACTTACAGACCAAGAAAAAACTATTCTTCTTTTAACCTCCCAAAACCCACCAATTTTAGAAAAGGTGGGACATTACGTCTTCCATGGTCTAAAAAAGAGAAGTCAAACCCCTTAGACATACTTTTAGACATAGCTGTAGCGCTAGACAACTACCTTTTATCATGTAGATTTTAGTTATTTTATACTACGTTTCATTGTTGTTTTATGTTTGTATGTATGTATGCAATTAGCCCCCCGGGCATGAATTTGCAATAAACTTCAAAATGTTCTTGTAAAGGAAAAAGAACAAGACTGCATCGTACTTGGGTTTTTCTCGACACCCAGGTTGTCGTAGGCCGGCACGATGTCGACTTCCATGCGGTGGTTTCCAGACCTCAGCTCCAGTGTAGCAGCATTTGGCTGTGCCACAACCCTGACAACTCCATTCTCACGAGCCCACCTGGATCTGTGATAATGATATATGTCTTACAACCAAGAGTACACACCAAAGCCGTCCTTAATGCTTAAAGTTAAAGACTCAGCGACTTTAACAAATTTAACCCTACCTAGACCGGGCTTTTTTTGACATGGGGGGACCGGGGGGGGGGTCTTTTGACCCCCCCTAAGAACTCGCGAACGGTATGTCGTATGACCACCAAATTTTCAGAGAATGGTGTACTAGTAAAAATTTATCATATCTACAATTTTTATGTCGTTATGACGTAATATGACGTCATTATTACGTCATTAATGTGATTTTATTGGCCAAAACCGTCTAAATAGGTTTTTCCCTGAAAACTAAATGGTATTCAACATAACTGTACCAAAAGTGTTTATGACAGAATATTATGGTGTACTAAGTCTTATGTTGCCCATAGCAACACCGGTGACGTCATAAAATGACGTCATGCATATTTAAGATATCCGCCATCTTGGATCATCAATCTTGAATTTTCAAAAATAGTTTTTTTTTCATGATAAAGCCTAAAATACATCGTTAACATACTAAAGACCTTCATTTAAACCTTTTTTGGAAAAAGAAATGGAAGTATTGATGAACTTTTAATGAAAATAGCCTGTATATACCTGTTCTTATGATATGGTCCGCCATCTTGGATTTGGGCCAATGACGTCTTCAAATTAGCATAAATTATGCATATTCAATGATAAAATGTACATAAAATTATTTGGGATGTTATTAATATTAGAAACCATGAGTAACTTGACATAAAACCCATAAAATTCTATTGTTGAAACAAAAAGTAATAAATTTAGCAAAAAATGCCTGTCAGAAACCCGTTGCCATGGCAACACAAAAAAATATTATCTTATTCCAATGATAGAGAATTGTTGCCAACAATATTCTAGGAAAAGTCACCAAGTTTGGCCGTTCTACGGCTAGCTGTTCAGACGCTAGGTGACATCAAAGTTGCCGCGGGCACTTTTAGCCCCCCCCCCCGGTCTAGGTAGGGTTAAAGCGCATATCTGAGAGTTCCTGTCAAGCCCATGTTACACATGCAGTACATTTTCCTGACTTTGCCTTTGTGACAGGAGCAGTCTGACTAGTAGAAGTTACATGAAATCTCTTATTAGTGAAAAAGTTAGTTAGAGTTAGAGGGGTGTTAACTCATTTTTTCACTAATATATGATAATTTATTGGGCTAAAAGTACAAACTACGCATTAGCACCACTTTTTCTCTTAACACGTGTTTTACCCACTTTTTCCAATACTAACTAAATAAATGTGCGAAATAATCAGGTCTAGATTTAGACCACGCCTATACATTTATATAAGAGTCGAAACGAATTTAAGTTAGATTTGAGTCAAATTTGACCCCCTCCAAAAACTGCTGACTTACTCCCAAGTGGTTGGATGGTGTTCTGCTGACTTGCAGCTGAACACTCGGAACCTTTTCAACATTCTGAAACATTCGACTGCCGTTAACGTTCGTGAATGTGTGAAAGGTGTTTATCTTAACATTATTCCCCCACACACACTGTCATTTTTTTTTGCCATTTTAGGCCACACCAATTTAATTTGTTGGTTCTCGGATTCGCCTCTTCGTTTTTTTCTAATTTGCAAAAAAAAAAATTGATTCTGGTCCTGAATCAACTGAAAATGCTCATGTTTTGCCCCCAACAGTTGAGGAAAGTCCTTTTCTTCCTAGTTGTTACAGTTTTCCCATCTATCATTGCAGTGGTTTGATTAAAAGTTCAAAATTCAATGTTTAAATTTTAACCCAGCCTTTTGTGTTGACTTCATGGCTCATTCCATAGCATTTAAGCCTATACTAGGATGCCTAGACCTGTTTTTATTTTTGTTTTTTTTTCGCCCTGTCGCTTCATATTTTTTCTGAAAAAATCCGAGAACCAACAAATTAAATTGGTGTGGCCTTACAATAAAAGATATATTTACATGTACTGCCATGGCAATGTTATATCAGCAAGTTACAGATTTATCATAGTAAATGCCGTGTTCCTCCTCACCCCTCTATGGTCCTCGCCACACGTCCGATGATGTCCTGTTGCTGACTGAGGAAGTCTCCCATACTGATGATGCCGTTCAGGAACAGAGTCACGTCCAGGTCAGACCTGTCCTTCAGCGCCGTACCTCTGCCGTACGAACCTCCCTGGCAAGGACAACAACATTGCCCGAATTCTTAGCCTGATCATTATGTTTACCAAAGGAAAACATATCGTTTTTGCTACATTTACTCTTCTTCTTCTTCTCAAACACTAACCTCTGACCTTGCCAATGACATGATTTCTTGACGTCTGTCACCATGGTGACTGGTGTTGTGTTACATGGGTTACATCATGTTGCAATTTTATCAGTAGGAGGGATTTATACTCTGTCTGACCATATATATGAATGCATTTGAGTAAGAATTAACAGAGCAGACCATATGGTAAGCATTATTTATTTGCTTCTAATTTCTCTACTTTTTTTGTTTGTTTAATTCTAAGCTTTATTACCATTCACAATACACTGTACAGGTCTTTGATAATTCACATTTATCTTATCAACAGATTTCAACAGACTCAATACTAGCTATAGACAGATTTATCTATATATTCAACTGCAATACCTCTCCTAATGAAAAAATACTAGTACTGTTTTGTCATTGAAAAATACCGAAAATCATGTATAGTCCTATTTAAGGGATCATACTAGCACTTGATGCTTTAGCAAGGAGGTTCAATACAAGATTTTAAACCTCCTTGGTTTTAGTAAGTAGGATGTTGAGTTTCATTTTATACCCTTTCTTTTGGTATATGTTCAAAAGGCGTTGCCCTACGTTGTACCATGTACAAAGTTCTTCTATTACTCGCGATGGATAATGAACAAAGGCTTCCCGCGACTGTGCGAAACTAGGCGGGAATGACGTAAACATACGGTCATGGTTTCGGTCCACATGCGGTCATGGTTTCGGTCCACAGGCGGCCATTGTTACCACTTGTGGTGTAGGTAAGTTTACCCTTATCACAGTGTACATATACATTTTCCGAACAATTGATCAATTGTATGAAGTACTGTGTCCGCCTGCCTTCCTATGCAAATCGAAACGAATTTGAGTTGAATTTGAGTCACATATGACGCCCCGGATACGCCCCAAAAGCAAAGCTGCTGACTTACTCCCGAATGTTTGACTGGTGATGTGCCCACGAATGTAGCCGAATACCTGCCAACCATGATCGAACCTGACGACGCAATGTTTTCAACATTTTAATATGAAAGTTTATTGCAAATACTTGCCCGAGGGCTAATTGCAGTTACAAACAACAAAAGAAAGAAAATACAATGGTATGTGAGACTATATCTACATCCGTACCATTATACTATACTCTACAACATACATGGTACAAGCTATAGTTTTACTGGGTTTGACTTCTTCTTTTTAGGCAATGGAAGACGAATTTACCCACTTCTTCTATAATATGTGGGTTCTTTGATTTTAGCAGTAAAATTGTTTTTTTGTGGTAGGGAATGGTGGGGAAGTAAGGGCGCATTTTGGACACGGTGGTAAATAATTGTTTTCTGATGTCATCATAAAATGGACAATTAGAGATGAAATGAATTTCGTCTTCCACTGCATTTGAAGAACAATATTTACAAATTCTCTCCGACACAGGTAGTTTCATATATCGCCCTTTTTCGATTTCCAAGGGGTGGGCAATGATTCTAATTTTACTAATAGCGGAGCGCTGATCGAAGTCACAATGTTCTAGGTATTGTTCTAAACAGTATTCAGTTTTACATATTCAGCTGGCGCAGCCGAACAGTAGCCGAATTCGCCGAATACCAGCCGACTTTGCGCCGACTTACTCCTTATTTATTTATTTAATACGACTGGGTAGCCCCACTTATTTATCCATAACAAAAAGAACAGTTGGGTAAGTACCTTATTTATTTTTAGGACAACTGATTTCCAAGGTACCCCATTCAGCTTGCAATAGCTGTTTTTTGAGGGGGCAGCACAGTACAAGACACGACATTGTTACAATGTACATATGTGTTGCCTGTTGGGGAACCGTTCGGCTAGTGTTCGGGAGGACAGATTTGTCATGGATGTGTGACAGTATATTTACCGTGTACATACACTACGTTGTATGATAAGCATTGTGTGAAGTGCCGGTGAAGGTTAGACATCCAGGTAATAAGATACGTCAAAAAAACAGCTACTGGAGCAACTGAATATGATTTCGGAAACGGTCAGACGTTTCAGGTAGCATCCACTACCTTTTGTCAGTGACACTGGAGACTTGTCAAAAGGGCATGTTTAGAAGCACGAACTATTGATTGATATGCAATATTGAAGACATTTTTTTAAGTCAGAAAGGAAACAAAGTAACGTAAGTCAAGACATAGCATTGTTACATAGAGGTTGCGGGCCGTTTGGCTAGTATTCGGGAGGATAAATTCGTGAATATGTGGAAGGGGCTTTACATATATGTACTCTGTACAAACACTACACACACAAATTGTTTGATTAACATTGCATGAAGTACTGTGACCGTACCTTGACCATACGGTTGACGGTGATGTTGTTGTACCTAACCTCGGTCTGCAGAGTTCGGTACAGCCCGTCCAGAACCTGGTTAAACCGGATTCTGTCCGACTCGGTCATCTGAAGTTCCCGGTCTATGTAAGAGTTTAGCTCCCTCTCATTGGTGAGTGAAGTTACAGACGATCCTGAAACATAACAAGAATTCGAAAAAGTTTTTGTAAATGTTTGTATTTTTTATTTGTCTCATTGCTTAATCATTTGCTACGTACGTCGGCTTCAAGATTTAGGAAACGGGACACCTTTATCTGTATCTGTATCTGTATAGCCGGTATAACCGCCTTTCGGCGTAACACACCAGCTTCTGTATCTGTATAGCCGGTATAACCGCCCTTCTGCGTAACACACCAGCTTCTGTATCTGTACAGCTGGTATAACCGCCCTTCGGCGTAACACAGCAGCTTCGAATTCTGTATCAGTATAGCCGGTATAACCACCATTCGGCGTAACACCAGCTTCTGTATCTGTATAGCCGGTATAACCACCCTTCGGCGTAACACAGCAGCTTCTGTATCTGTATCTGTATAGCCGGTATAACCGCCTTTCGGCGTAACACACCAGCTTCGCAGGCACGCGGCGCGGCGGCAGCTGGCTACATTACACCGATTGACTTGTTACACTTAACCCTTGAACATCTAACTCTAGACATTGTTTAAAGCTATCTAATGATAATGCCCCTACTGTACTTGGTGACAGCGAGTTCCACTCTGCGATAGTTCTAGGAAAGAATGAATTCTTGAACACCTCAATCCTTGGTTGATAACTCTGGTACTTGAAGGCATGGCTATTTCTTGTTCTCTTCTGGGCTGGTATTACTTACTTATCGATCAAGTGAACGCGTAAACTTTACAACAGATTGCGCTGGCAGACTCCAGACCGAAACTATCCGCATACTAGTAGTTTCGGAGGTCAACGTAATTCAACTAAGCACCTAGTACCTGTGTAAAGAACCTGTAGCATATTCTGATGCATGTACGCCTACTTAAAAAAAAAACTTGTTTAAAACTCGTATGCGTGAAGCAAACATACAGTATTGGTGAGAGCAGTTTTTTGTAAAGTCACCAATTTCCTACTACTATAGTAACTCTCAGTGTGAGGGTACCAGGTACAGAGCTAATGTGATCCGTAGTTTAATTTTCGCAAAAAAAAATGCATAAAATCTCTCTCCGCCTAGTCTCTATCAGACTAACTACGCTGGCTATATATAGGATAATATTTGCCAGGGGAGTTTGGCCGCCTTGTAGGTTTGACTGGCCGCCCAGTTCGGAGGGAAAGAAACTACCTCCCCGCGGCCGGACTCCCTTGCCCAATTTTACTCTCCTTTTGCCGAATTCTACGATCCGTATCCCCGTAGAAAGGCCTGGTGGAGGCTACTCACCGCCTACTGAAAAATACGCCATAGCTGTTTGGATGTGTGCAGTTTGTGATCTGTACCAACGCTAGATATCCTGATATGTTGTCGGCTTCACTCCGTCTTAGCAAAGAACGCAGAAGTGTTCAAACTGAGAAGATATATTATAAAACTCTTACCAACCATTCCAACTTTAGGTGTTGTCAAACGACATTGCAATTTTTACATTTTGTTCGGCGTATCATTTGAAGTCATGGAGAAGGTGGTAGATAGTGATGAAATAAAAATTCACAAAGATTCTTCTATAGGGAGCAATGAAATGTTATATCTATCACAAAATGCATGTTTTCTTGCTTGGTCAAATGTAGCAATCCCCCTCTTAGGTAGCAACAGACTAGCCCACCTGTGAAACTAGACAGACATGGCGCGTGTATTAGGTCATAGTTTCGCAACAACGTTAACACCTCAAGTGGGGGAAGGTAGCCAATCGTAGCCTGCCAGCTCGCATGTAAGGTTATAGGTCAGGAAGCTTTTAACAACAAAAAAAACGTCGAAAAAGAGGTATTTCTGAAATTAAAAAAAAAGTTTTAAATGGGTGGGGATTTTGTATGTGAAACACGAAGGGTGATTTTTTTTTCTTTTCTGTCGTTTACTTGACCTGTGGTTTTCCCACAATTCTCTAGTCAAGGTCAAACCGGAACTGTATGATTACTAGTAGTATACGGTTGTATTTTGTATGTGTAACAGTTGTGTTAACATAATCTCCAAGCAGATCTTTTGCTGGCTGCAAAGACAGTATCAAATTGGCCAGTCAGTATCCCTATGCCAGGCAGTTTACCATTTGCCACCCAAAATGCACGTGGTGTAACTGAAAGGATACCAGCACAGGGCACGATAAAACTAAAGCCTAAAATACGCCAAAAATTAGCTGAAGCCTAAACCTCTACTTGGAGAAGAACTGTTTACAGTGTTTACGCATTTCTAAACATAGAACTCTTCGCTAACTGGGAAGTACCTTCAGGACATGGATCCGGAGAGTGACTCAGGTATGTGCCCATGTTTTCTTCGTGAAGACAGACTGCTAAAGGCAAGGGGTGTGTGAAAACTGACGCAGGTACTAGTACACATGTAGTTGTCAAACCCGTCCTCAATTTTATTCATGACTTTCACACTTCCCATAATGCCGAGGAAAGATCACGGATATGACGTAAGAAGGGGATAAACATAATGCGACCGTGCGAGTAGGAGAGTCTTCGGTAGAAGGTAGAACGATAGAAGGTACGTCATTTTCTCTCATTCCAACAAAAAATACAATTATGGCATGCGCTTTATACTAGATAAATACTTCAAAACAATATAGTTGACCAATTTGTCGATAGAACTTGTTGGAAAGGGGGAGGGGTGGTCAACGTCATATCCGTGATCTTTACTAGGCATTATGGGAAGTGTAAAAATCATTAGCCTCCACCTGGCCTAGCTATGTACGGGGGTACGGATCGTACAATTTGGAAAAAAGGGGGGTTCCCGAAATAATTGGCCAGGAGAGTAAGTCCGCGGGAGGGTTTATTTTCCCTCTCCGAAGAAAATAAACTCTACAGAAACAACTCTACAGTAGCTAAATATAACATTTATTTTCTATATTTGGCTAAATTTTACTGTATTTGAACCCGTGTTGTTAGTCTACCCCACCCTTACGACGTCACACTTAGGCCGTGTTTAAGTGGAATCACCCAAGGCGGTTTACATGTGGTTTACCCCGAAGCCGGTTTCAAGTGGCTCCATGTGAACGCTCCGAAATCACATTGAAAGCGCCTCGATCCCAAGCCACTTCTAGAGGTGGTTTCGAATCGCTTTCCCCGCATCGCGATTTGCGTCTGAACGCAATGTGATTTCAATGTAACTTCGCCTGGTCATGGATTACGGGATGATATTTCTTTATTTATATGCAATACCAACTTTTCGTGGCAGCAACTTAAAGAGCAGTAATGGTCAAATAATGTGTCCGTTCTAGTGCGAGCTTCACCGCCTCTGGCGGTACCACGTCGGTATTCGGTCGAGATACGCTGGGAGGGGGGCATTAGCAAGCAGGTCGTTGACCTCTGACATTAATAACACGCCACCTTGCGTGTTAGCATCAAACAGCAATAAATGTAGCTCAAGCGAATTGTGATCGGACACGGTTTCACCAGATGTGAGGAATGTGAGTTACCCGAATCGCGGTTTGGATGATTTCACTTAAACACGGCTTTACTCTTCCGCCAGTCAGATGCTGATGATCAGTAAATACTTTAATCAAGTTAATAAGTCACTGAATAGAGAGTCCCCTTTTACACAACTATGTGTTTTATGCCGACGTGGATTGTAGATACAGTTTTCTGTAACCGTGTAGATATATATGTAAATATTTTCCGGTTCGGAACACATCTGTAGCAGCGACACCTATGCTGCAATGAGCTGCAATGCAATGTGAACCAGTCAGCTGACAGACGGTCACCGAAACGTCGGCGGAATAGACCGATCACGAATGTCCATCACAATTATAAGTTCAACCAATGAGAGAAGGGCAATTAGCGGCTCGACCAATGAGAGGGTGGTTTTATGTTCGTCAAATATTTGCTTTTCTATGGCCTTGTTCATATGAAACCACCCGAACCGCGATTCGGGTAACTCACATTGCGCACATCTGGTGCACGTGCCATACATTCCTTTCAAACCGTGCCCGATCACGATTCTCAGAAACTACATTCATTGTTGTTTGATGAAAACACGCAAAGTAGCGTGTTATTAATGTCAGAGGTCAACGACCTGCTTCCTGGTGCCCCCCTCCCAGCGTATGTCGGCCGAATGCCGACGTGGTCCCACCAGAAGCGGTGAAGCTCGCCATAGAACGGACACATTATTTGACCATTACTGCTCTTTAAGTTGCTGCTACGTAAAATTTGGTATTGCATATAAATAAAGAAATATCACCCTGTAATCCATGACCAGGTGAAGTCACATTGAAATCACATTGCATTCAGACGCAAATCGCGATGCGGGAAAACCGATTCGAAACCACCTCTAGAAGTAGCTTGGGATCGAGGCGCTTTCAATGTGATTTCGGAGCGTTCACATGGAGCCACTTGAAACCGGCTTCGGGGTAAACCACATGTAAACCGCCTTGGGTGATTCCGCTTAAACACGGCCTATAGCAGCGACACCTGTGCTGCAGTACAATGTGAACCAGTCAGAATTGCCCTGAGGAAGGTGTCGACTGAATAGACCGATCACGAATGTCCATCACAATTATAAGTTCAACCAATGAGAGAAGGGCAATTAGCGGCTCGACCAATGAGAGGGTGGTTTTATGTTCGTCAAATATTTGCTTTTCTTTGTTTCGACGGAGGTGGGCGGGGCTTCAGGATCGGTCTATAAAACACCTGGTTGTATAATCTATAATCGTTTCTATAATCAGATACTGATGATATTTCCCACAACAGGAATGGCATCCTGGAATCCCCACCCTTCTGGCCACAACACACACGACATGGAACAGAAGTTACGCCAAAGCGAGGAGGCAAGGGAAGACGTGGAAAGGAAACTTGAAGAAGAGACTCGGCTGAAAGTCTTCTACCAAGACAAAGCTCTCCAGCTGGAATCTAAACTTCAAGACCACGAGGAAAGGTTGTGCAGTCTGGAAAACAAAATGGCTGCACTGATGGAGAAGCATCCGATTCAACAACAACAACAACAACAAGTGGTGGGCGAAAGAGTTGGTAGAGAGAGTCAGGATCAGAGCGTGGCTGAAGACTCGGAAGAAACGGGCATTAGGGAAGTAAAAGTTGGAGAGGGTGAGCTAAATTCAACATGATACATGAGAAAAAGTCCACTTGGCAGGCGTTATTACACAGTTAACAATGTATAAACACACACACACACACACACACACACACACACACACACGTACACACGTACACATACACAGACACTCGCATTCACACATACACGAACACACACACATACACACGAACACACACACTTACACATGCACACACACATACATGTAGACACAAATACACACACAAATTACAAACACACACACAGACATACACACACACATGCACAATACACAGAGGCACAAACACATTTACACACACACACACATAAACACACATATACACGCATACACATACGCACGACACTCACACATAAACAAACACGCACAGACACGCATCACTATCAGCATTAAGTATTATATCGATTCCCCATAAATATTGAGATATACATGTGTTGATTTCTCAGAAATATAATTGCGATCATGTATACTCTCTGCAGCATTGACATTCGGTTTGGACCCAGCGACGATTCACGGCAAGTTGGATACCCAGGTAGACAGCGAGAAGGGCAAAATCCTCATCAGCTACAACGGGGACCAGGAGGTAGTGAACACCGTGGGGCGGTTCGTGGGGAAGTCCCACACCGCGCTGGCCGATGTGATGATCAGCGGAGGGAGGTGGTACTGGGAGGTGGACGTACGCAAGTCCAACCACTACCGTATGGGTAGGTACGGTCTACGGGCACAGGGATATTTCTGGAGAGCATAAAGACCTGGGAGCTAAAATAGGTCTGGTAACTAGGCTATGGATTATTGCCTTCAAATTTCATTTTGTTCTCCAACTCCTTGTCCTACCAGCCCAGAAAAGAACAAGAAACAGGCATGCCTTCAAATATCAAAGTTATCGACCAAGAATTGAGGTGTTCAAAAACTTGTATTTTCCAAAAACTATCGTAGAACTACATGTAGTTGACACCAAGAACAGTTTGGGCATCGTCACTTAAGACAGCTTTAAACAACTCCTGCAAAGATTGAGTGTAACAAGTCGTTCGGTGTAATATATATAGCGTGCCTGCGAAGCTGCTGTGTTATGTCAAAGGGTGGTTATACCGGCTCTACTGATACAGATGAAGTGTACAGTGCATAACTGAATTTATATATGTTCCTGTTTTTTAAAATTAAGGCGTGGCTTCGAAGACCGTTAAACGTGACAAGTGGATCGGCGACACGAAGAAGTCCTGGTGCATCAGGAACAATGATGGCGAGGTGTCCGCTAGACACAACTATGACGACTCTGGCCTGCGATTGGTCAGGAACCCACCAATCATCGGCGTTCTTCTCGATTACGACAGCGCAAAGGTGAGTGTCAGCGGAGACAGAGGGCGTATCCCACAATACATTGTAATTTTTGGTCTACCGAACACATAAACGGTTGAGGTGTTTTGTTTTGTTTTGTTTTGTTTTATAAGGCCACACCAAGTAAATTTTATGGATGACGTCCGCGCGCGCATTGATTTTGACCTGTTCCTAGAAAAAAAAACAAGAAATTCCGCTTCCTGTAACTATGACCAAAGAGTCACGACAGTGCCGCAAATCGTCAGATTGACGTGAAACCCGTGACGCAAAAACAGGACAGGACGACAACTGCTGTTCCACCTGATTTATTGCTGTTTTGATGATAAATAAAAGACTTCTTACTTGTTACACTGTGTCACCTCATTCAATTTGTGTCCTAACATTTGTCGTCTCTTAGTATTTTTCTGATCCAGGCCTCTTGTTTTTTTAGGGCCCTTCTTGTCTTTTTTTCGCCCTCTCGCATTAGATTTAGGGTCTCCAAAGGACGTCATCCATAAAATTTACTTGGTGTGGCCTAATATGCAGTCTTGTATTGTATCTTTTACGTTTACTAATGTCTATTTGCTTGTTAGCTATTGAAACCGCTGAAATTTTTAATGTTAACATAATGTTACATCCGTAACAACACAAGCTTATGGTATTTATATGATGCCCACAGTGTTAGATATCACTAGCCGTATCTTTGAAAATGTGAAGAAATAAAAATGAAGAGTCTATTTTTCGCCATACCAGACTCTGTGTGTTTAGTCATTTGTTCAACCTTCTTGGCCACGTTGATTTCATACTGCGTATTTTAGTATTATGATCTTAAAATGTTGTAAGTAGTAATTTCAATTTAACGTATTTCTGAATATTTCGAAATGTAAAAAGATATTAGTAAGTGTAGCATGTTCGCGACTTTTGTACAAACCTCGCAATTCAACCGTGAGGCTGTGATGGGTTTTTAACAAGTTAATAATAAACAATTAAAAAGTTAATATAATGAAGGCAACTGTTTTTGCCAAACCTTTTTTTGATTCGCACTCTCGCATACGTTTTAAAGGTTCCCAGAGGATGTCAACTCAACATGGCCTTAATACATTATCATGTCGTCTTTCCCAGGTCCACTTCTTCGATGTGGACAGTGGTAAACACCTACAGACGTACGAAGTTGACGTCAGCGAGCCCCTGCGTCCGGCGTTCCAAGTGAACGAAGGCTGTGTTGTGGTAAACAGTGCAGCTGGATCTCCTGCTAAAATGGAGGAACTTTTATCAGCCATGGACGCAGCTGGTAAGCGTTGTCTCCTGTGTAAAACGTTTACCATGAAACAGAAACAGTTGGTCGTAAACACCTCAAACCGACTGTTATTAGAACTAATATAATGTTATTGTCATATAGCCAGGTGGCGTTGACCAATCAGAAGCCCCCATTCCATATTGATTATGACGCCATAATGTCACAGTTAGCATGATACAAGTATTGCCAGGTGTGTTTTATTCTCACAAGTGTGCTTTGTTGCACAATAAAGCACGGCCCGGAGCACACCATTTGCAGGGGAGTTGACTCTTTTTGCTGACATTTGTAGCACGTTTCCTTGTTGAATAGAAATGTTTACCGTCTTGTCATCACCCAATTTATTTAGCAATACATAACAAAATAAAGACCATGTCAATACATGTGAATTTTGAGCGAAAGAAAAGAAAACATATTTTGCGCCACCCCCACTACAGTTTCAGTACATTTCTGTATTGAAACATTCAAATGACCTCAGATGACTTCAAATGGAAGCTTGCTCTATTCTTTTGGCCCAAAATAACCACTAATGGAATACCGGTTCTGTTCCGAAGTTCCGGTGAACTCATATGAACTCATATGAACCTCATAAAGCCACCTCGTTCGCTGTCGCTCACTCGATGGCTTTATTCGGTGGTTATAGCAACTGACAAGGCTTTATCACACCATATTCACCTCGGGGCGGGTCATTAACCCTTAATCAAAGAACTAATAAAATGGTAGGAAAGGCTTGTTTGCTGATAAGGAAAAATATATCACTATATTGATATTCATAGGACCATACTGATACAGAGAGACTTGATCAAACTGTTGTTGTATATCCTCAGGTGACACCATACCTGACTTCACACGTGAGGCATCATGGCATAGAAACCGTAAGTTTACTCTTTTTTCAGGCACTCATAAAACAAGTTTAAATTTCACATTTATTTCTTGAAGCATGTCCGACCCATATACGTGAAGAAATTATATGTACCTATTCACATCTGCCTTTGTCCTTTAACTAATGTCCCTTAACTATTTAAATCATCACAATTACCAACATCGATTGAACATCATTTACCCCGAAGCCGGTTTCAAGTGGCTCCATGTGAACGCTCCGAAATCACATTGAAAGCGCCTCGATCCCAAGCCACTTCTAGGGGTGGTTTCGAATCGGTTTCCCCGCATCGCGATTTGCGTCTGAACGCAATGTGATTTCAATGTGACTTAGCCTGGTCATGGATTACGGAGTGATATTTCTTTTTTTTATATGCAATACCAACTTTTACGTGGCAGCAACTTAAAGAGCAGTAATGGTCAAATAATGTGTCCGTTCTAGGGCGAGCTTCACCGCCTCTGGCGGGACCACGTCGGCATTCGGCCGAGATACGCTGGGAGGAGGGCATCAGCAATCAGGTCGTTGACCTCTGACATTAATAACACGCCGCCTTGCGTGTTATCATCAAACAGCAATAAATGTAGCTCAAGCGCATTATGTTTGGACACGGTTTCACAGGTGTGTGTGGCACGTGGACCAGATGTGAGGAATGTGAGTTACCCGAATCGCGGTTTGGGTGATTCCGTATAGACACGGCCTTACCCGACCGTCCTCCCTTCTAGGCTTCTTCAATGACAAGAGAATGGCAGACATTTCTATGCTCATCGGCAAACAATGGCGGCAGGTGGCCACTTGTCTCGGTCTCCAAAAGGTACAGCTGGACAAGATGGAACTGAATCACCCAAAAGACCACACTCGGCAGGTCATGGAAGGCTTAGTTACTTGGAGAGGTACTGCGAAGGTATGTTATAGGCCATGTTGATTTGATTATATGGATGTCATCCTCTGGGAACCCCAAAACTGATGCGCGCGTGCGAATAAAACGGGTTATATAACGTTAGTACTAGTTCTGGCTTAAGTTTATTTAAGCCAGAACTAGTACTATATAAAAATGTCTACAAATACTGAAATCATCTCTAGTATATCCAACATTTGATGTAAAAAATAAGGCCGTATTGATTTGATTATATGGATGGCAACCTCTGGGAACCCCAAAACTGATGCGAGCGTGTGGATAATAAAAGAAGATTGCCACAAAAGTAGCCTTCATTATGAAATCTACGTGATCATGAATGACTAAACACACAGGGAATAATAGACTCTTCATTTTCATTTCTTCACATTTTCTTCTGTTACTTTGGAATTGATTTTGGCATTCTACGACATTAGTATCTTTGTCCAATTTTCTTTTGCAATTTACGGCATATATTTGCTCCTTTTGTTGCTGCTTTGTTGTGCAATTTATAATATGGTCGAAAACTTGTTTTTTTTTTGGAAATGGACGAAAATTGGATTAATGCGCGCGCGGATCCATATAATCACATCGACATGGCCTTAATTGTTGTTTTTCTGGTAGGACGACGATGAGATGTTGACGGAGCTGACATCATGTCTGAAGAAATGGGACCGTTCTGACTTAGCGGAGCAAATACAAGAGGAACACGACCAACTCACGACCGAAGCATCTGAAGACCCTTCCTAGAGCACCGTGTGTGTGTGTGCATCTAATAAAGTGTCAGAACACGTGCGCAGTTTGGTAGTTGGCATGTTTGAGCCTTCATACTTTGCTTATGGTTGTGTTTTGTCTGTCTTTGTGTGTGTGTGTGTTTGTGTGTATTAGAAAGAGAGAGAGAGAGTGTGTGTATGACTGAGAGTGTGTGTGTGTTTTATTTCTTCTGTTCTCATGTGCTTGTGTGCGTGGGTGTGCTTGTGTGTGTATGTGCTTGTGTGTGTATTTTATTTGTGAGTCTGTGTGTGTGTTTGTGCGTCTGCTTGTGTGTGTGTGTTTGTCTATATGTATGTATGTAGTGTGTATGTGTATGTGTGTGTGTGTGTGTGTGTGTGTGTGTGTGTGTGTGTGTGCGCGCGCGCGCGCGCGTGTATACATGTGTGCGTGTGTGTGTATTTGTATGAGAGAGAGAAAGAGAGAGAGAGGGAGGGAGAGAATTCTACCAGTTCTTTCCAATACCTTTTGTGACCATGCATTTATTTCGTTGTCCTTTCTATGCAAGTTCTTTATCCAGATACACGTATCAATAATAAAATATGTATAACATAACATGGTGACTTTATTGAAATACATAACAGAAGATACAGACGACAAACGGCCACGTCGTAACATCAGGTGTAATATTGATATTGTTATTGTCACTGCTCACAGCTCTAATGGCTTATCATTTGACCGGAGGACAATAGAATATGTCTGATACTTAGGCGACGATCAAACAAACCGTACACTATATAATGTACAACTTTTGACGTTTGATCATGTATAGAGAATACCCTTTGTGATTTTCCATGTTAAACGCTGTACGTACTATACTGAGAAGCAGGAATTTTAAAATGTTTGAAAGATTGAAATCGTACCCTTCACAATAACCCCCCGGACCATACACGGTTACGAATAATAGATTGGTCTCATTCAGCGTACGACATATGCCTTGGATCAAATGTGACCGGCAGACCGCTCATGCATATCGACTTATTCATTAAAACCAGCCTTGCACTCTTTGCAGTCACGCAACAGTTACACGGTACTGTGTAGTGCTGTATCAAGTCTAGTTGAGGACGGAAGGGTTTCGAAGTAGCTCTCAATCCTCGCAAAGTTTTCTCTCTAAGACGAGATGGATTCACACCGAAGTCAAGACGAAGAAAGACAGATAGAAGAGGTCGTATTCTTCGTGGCAGACGGGTCCTTTCTTGAAGACGATAGCCAGCTACGAAGGCGATTTCTGTGCCTGGTGAAAGAGGGCGATTTTGTGGGGGTGGAAGAGATGGTGAAGAAAGATCTTCGTGATGTGTCCCTTATCGTGAACTGTCGGGACGCGCGTGGACGTTCTGCGGTAGAACTGGCGACGATTCGCGGTGACCAAAAGATGGTGGAGACCCTACTGAAACACGGGGCGGACGTAGGGGACTCTCTGCTGTACGCTGTCGACTTGGAAAAGGAAGACGTCGTGACAACGTTGCTGAGTCATACACCGACAGAAAGTCGCGAATACAGTACTGAAAAGGTGGGTTTACCGTTTTTTATTCATATATATTTATTGAGTATTGGGCAAAAAGCACAAGTTGCTTATATAACACCTTCTACTCAAAAACATACAACGAGTATAAAACACATCGACAAGATACATGCATAATTACAAGGTGGGTAAAACCAAGATAAATACAAACAAGACAAGTTTCATGGTGATCTATTGGTTTACCGTTGGTCTGTTCTTACCTGTATTTCACGTTAGGCCACAGCAAGTAAATTCTATGGATGACAACCTTCGTAGACTAAAAAATTAACGCGATAGGGCAAAAAAAAACTTTCCAAATTTTGATATCATAAACTAAGGAGGGTGTATGCAGGTCTCCATTTAACCTACTTGCATAAACCTTGATCAACAAGAATTTAGGCGACAAAACATGGCATCACAACCAGCAGGTCTTTTATTCAAGTATTCCACAGTATTACCTGTCCTTGTAGATGTGTATACATCCTAATTAAGTAGAACAATTGTAAAAAAAAGAGCATGTCGTACTACACTGGGTATTTATGTACGATGGAGCACCTTACACTGTCAACACTTGCCATCAAACATGAGCAATTGTGCCTCAAGTTTGCTGGATGGTCTCTCAACTGGTAGACGTTTACCGTACCCATTTTTGGCATGTTGACCACCGTCATAGGGCAACAAAATGCCTTGTTTTTTCTTCCAAAATCAGGCGAAAATGAATGCACGCTAATGTCATCCCTTAAAATTAGTTCGCCTTAGGAACAGCTGCAGTATAGGCATAGTTTGGGCTTCAGACCTGGTTTGTCCTTCGAATGTTTTTGAAGGCGTATGCTATTGTTTGGTACCGTGGTAGTGAGCACAAATGAAGAGTACTTGTCAACTACTGTTTGGTTTTTGACTGGAGGTTCGACAAAGAAAACACCGTCCCTGTTACAACTAGACATGCCTGCCTTCGCCTGTTATGGGCCACACCGACTTAATCTTATGGATGACATTATCTGAAGACCCCAAACTAGTACGCGCGAGCGAATTAAAAAAAACACGTCCGGCCAAAAAAAAAATTCTACTAAACCACAGGAATACAAAGCTGGTATTGTGAATTTGCGGCAGTACATATAGCGACGTATGAATCGTCACTGTACTTATACGCACGTATGTACTGAGTTCTTGAGTCGTGGAGCTTCGGTAGCCTGGGTGCCATCCTCCAGGGTTACCACCGGCTCCGTATTGTCGCTAACTACAATGGACTAAGGCCTAGAGCCAGGCCGGAGCCTCGGAGGACGTGATTTTGTTTTGAGAACTGGCGGAAATCAATGCGCGCGCGGATGTCATCCATAAAATTTAGTCGGTGTGGCCTAATACTTCTGAATGTAATATAAATCGTTCGTATGCGCTATCGAATTACAAATGACGCAAGTCTTTTAGTCGATTTGAAAACTGGAAACGGCCAGGCACATACATCAATGGATCATGGTCTTGAAACCATTTGGTACTTCATCTATATTACGTCGATGAAGGTTAGACATCCAGGTAATAAGATATGCCCAAATAACAGTTACTATACTCAAGCAACTGGATATGGTTTTGGAAACGGTCAGACGTTTCAGGTAGCGTCCACTGACTTTTGTCAGTGACACTGGTGAGATCTCAAGATCAACAGGTTTATAACTATTCATTTATGTTGAAATAAAGTGTAGACATCATTTTTGATAGTCCAATAGGAAACAAAAGTTATTGAAGACAAGGTTTATGCAATTGAGTCAAATAGCTCACAGTTGTTTCAGAACAGGACCTTATAACATTTGGTTCTGTTCTTGGAGCTAGGAGTCCTTAGGTTTCAAGAACCAGAGAGTTCTACCCGTAAACTCAGGCCATATCTATTTGCTTCAGTAACCGTCTTTTGGCGAACTTTAATCTATTTGTTTATTAAATCTTGAAAAACACATGGGTGACCTCTTCAACATTATTTGTTGACTTCCAAGGGGCCGAAGGAAACAGGATTATGTTTTTTAATTGTGTGTTGTTTGTAATTAGGAATATGAAGTCCTATGCAAATTAGCATTACTTGTCTAATTCATGAATTTCACACTTCCCATAATGCCCAGTAAAGATCACGGATATGACGTATGACCAACCCCCTCCCCCTTCCTCGATTATTCCTTGGTAATGTAATATTTGAGGTCTAAATATTTCCAACAAGTTCTTTCGACAAACTTGTCAACTATATGCCTTGTCAACTTGTCAACTATATGCCAAGTTCTATCGACAAACTTGTCAACTATGTTTTGAATTATTTATCTAGTATAAAGCACATGCCATAATTGCATTTTTGTTGGAATTAGAGAAAATGACGTACCTTCTATCGTTCTATCTTCTACCGAAGACTCTCCTACTCGCACGGTCACATTACGTATATCCCCTTCTTACGTCATATCCGTGATCTTTACTAGGCATTATGGGAAGTGTGAAATTCATGAATTCATTTGTACCAAAAATTACGTGATTGCAGGACACAACCAAGGAATCACTCTTCCCCTCGCACGTCACACCACTCCACCTAGCGGCGCATCGCAACAACTACAGCCTCCTAAAACTCCTGCTGGAGGGAGAATTTCCTCGTCTAAGTATCGGTTACATCAGCGGTTCCACAGACCCGAGAGTCGTGCTTGACTACTACCGCGCCGTCACCAGTCCTTCTTACATTCTTCTCACCAGCCAAGACCCCTTTCAGACAGCTATCAAGGTCTGTATCTGTGTCTGTATCAGTATAGCCGGTATAACCACCCTTCGGCGCAACATAACAGCTTCGCAGGCACGCGGCGGCAGCTAGCTATATCAGGGGTGCCAGAGTATACAGTGCAATTTTACGGAATACAGTACAACCGTATTAGTATACAGTGCAATTTTACAGAATTATTGCACAATGTTACAGAATTATTGTAAAATTGCACTGTGTACTATTTAAATTGCACCGTATTCCGTAAAATTGCACTGTATACTTAAAATTGCACCGTATTCCGAAAAATTGCACTGTATACTCTGGCACCCCTGTATATTACACCACAAGACCTGTTACATTTCATCTTTGCACCTCTAACTGTAGGAGTTGTTTAAAGCTTTCTAGTGATAATGCCCCAATTGTGCTTGGTGTCAACGAGTTCCACTCTACAATAGTTCTGGGAAAATACGAGTTTTTTAAACACCTCAGTTCTCTTGGTTGATAACTTTGATATTTGAAGGCATGACTGTTTCTTGTTCTTTTCTGGGCTGGTATTAGATGCAGTTGGTACGTCCACCAGTTAATAAGTCATAAATACGATATTTAGTCATAATTTATAGGTCAAAAAGGAGCTCAACAAAGTCACCTCTTGCTTGGAAACTGGGAGGAAGGAGCTTCAAGAACTTTCTGACCGGCTTGAAGAGTTTGCTGCAGAGCTGATCAGTTTCGCTAGGTGTCGTGAGGAGGTCATGACCGTTCTGAATGCTGGCGACAACATGGATGACATCCGAGGAGTGCGAATGCGTCAACTACAGAAGGCCATTGAAGTTGGACATAAGAAGGTATGTGTGATATTACTGTATGGCATTTTTATATTTTCTGACAAAACATTTGAGATAAAACAAGCATCATACATGTATGCAGAGATATTTCAGTCTAATGACTTTTCTCTATTACTCATGCCATGTTGATTTGATTATGTGGATACCGTCCACTCGTCCACAAATTTTCGCCCGTTTCCCCCCAGTGTGTTTAGTCATCTTATCATGAAAGTTCATCTGTGTTGGTAGTAATCATAGTAAAACGTTAAACTTTATTCCAACACACTATTTACAGGGATCAAATTTTCAGCGACCACTGTCGCCTTCATCAGGATAATTAATGACCAATCACTTCACAACGTGATCTCGCGAAAGTTACGGTTTACAAACACGTGACCTTATTCATACGAGACTTTACTGATACGTGACGTAAGCAATTGATCAAAAGTGCCAGGGAGTTTATATATAGCATCCATCATCTCTATTAAGTAAAGGCTGAAGTGCTCTGATATATATATAGCCTCCTTAATGCCTCTTAGAAAGTAGTCCTGTTCAGTGTCCAGTATTCTAACTTTGTTTAGTCATTTCATTTGTTCAGTCTTCGTGATCATGTAGATTTCATCATGAAGGCAACTTTTTTTTCAGCCGAACCAGGTTGGCTGGTGGTCGTGAACAAATTCAGGGGAAGGTCCTGAATGTGTGACAGGGGCTAAGGCCACACCAAGTAAATTTTATGGATGACGTCCGCGCGCGCATTGATTTCGGCCTGTTCCTAGAAAAAAACCCAAGAAATTCCGCTTCCTGTAACTATGACCAAAGAGTCACGACAGCGGGATAAGGGAAGATGTGAAGAAAGAAAAGAAACAGGGCAGGAGGACTACTGCTGTTCCACCTGATTTATTGCTGTTTTGATGATGAATAAAATACTTCTTGCTTGTTACACTGTGTCACCTCATTCAATTTGTGTCCTAACATTTGTCGTCTCTGAGTATATTTCTAATCAAGGCATCTTGTTTTTAGGGCCCTACTTGTTTTTTCTTCGCCCTCTCGCATTAGATTTAGGGTCTCCAAAGGACGTCATCCATAAAATTTACTTGGTGTGGCCTAAAGTCTGCAGTTTCTCTGGCGGGGAAAGTTGTTGTCTTCTTGAATCTCTTGTGTAAAATGTCTCTCATTACGCTCGTTTATTCCTTAGTTCGTGGCTCACGACAAGTGTCAGGAGTTACTGAACCTACAGTTCTACCGGCCCCATCACAGCCTCCTGTTCAGCCCACAGTGGATCAAGTTCCTGGCCATATGGGTATGTCGAATTTCGAATCTAAATATTCTGAGTCGCTAAATTACAATCTGCTACTATTATTTGAATGAAAGACCTTTATTGTACGCTTGTGCTCTAACGAGCTAAGTACAGGTCATTGGGTAAACAGGGAAAAGAAAACAGTAATGACACTTACATACCATATAAACTAATGCGATCTAGTATTTACAGGTTCAGCTTCTTCTCGCTTCTTGACGCAGTTAAAGATGTACGAACATATTGAGCTAATGATACATGGTTTGTCAAGTTTCATGAGGAATTCGAATTTTTCTATTCTATCTAAATGTCTAAAGCTTGGGAACTTATCTATTACATAAGTATAGAGGGAATCCCTCTCATTTCTATATAATGTGCAGTCAACTACAAAATGGCATTCATCTTCAATATAATCTAGATTACAAAATTGGCAGATCCTTTGCTGTAGAGGAATGTGGTTGTGTCTTCCCTTTTCTATGCGGAGTTTGTGTGAACTTATTGCACAAAACTCTTTCTTTGTGAGAACCACAAAAGATTTACAAAACGCAGACTAAGCATTGTGAATCTGTATTGTATTGTACGCACACGTGCGTTGTATTGTCTTTTTGGCGACGTCTAAGGGTGGAGCCTAATGGTACAGTATTGTGTGCAATTTGCAAAATTCTAGGAATCGTACAGGAATTTTGTCCACGGGCATGGAATGTGCACAGGAATGTCTCCCAGCTATGTTTGTTGACATGCCCACATTCCTGGAAACCCTTGGGAAAACCTGTCTGCCCCGGATGCCCCAGTTTCTGTGACCCCGGGGCTCGCTCACTATACACTCAGGGGAGGGTAGGTTACCAAGGCTTCCTCAAAATCATGAAGTCATGGCAGTGCCATGCAAACAATAACCCTAAATGCAACCACCGTCGCCATGGCAATGTATGTTTTCATTGCCAGTCTTGTTAATTATACAAATGATGATATGCTTTTAATCTATCTGTAAATTTCAACGCAATTCAGTTGTGTCTAAAGAGGTTCACGTCTGAAAAGATTTGGTTTGATTTGAAATGTTTGCCACAGTTACCCACCCTCCTGACTCCTGTACTGGCAATCCTGTACATGTTCCTCCCGAAGACAAGACTGGGAGAGGATATCGCCTCGCCTTTTGTCAAATTCAGCATGAAGCTCTGGTCTTGGCTCCTGTTCTTGGTGGTGATAATATTGCTGAACGGCGACATGGAAGGAGCTGGGGCGTATGTGACGATAGGAATTTATTACTCCTTGGTGCTAGGTAAGATTTATTTATTTATAAGTTACCACAGGTACAATGGATAGATAAATCAATCAATCAATCAATCAATCAATCGATCGATCAATCAATCAATCAATCAATCAATCAATCAATCAATCAATCAATCAATCAATCAATCAATCAATCAATCAATCAATCAATCAATCAATGGACGAACGAATCACTCAATAAATCAATTAATCCAGCAACCAATCAATCAAACCGTTCATTGTTAAAACAAGATACGGGCGGTCCTTGGTTGAATTATGGCTTTTTGTACAAAAAACAGCACATCTACATTATTAAATTCTCAATTAGATATGAGAAAAAAATTGTAATAAACTGCATATTCAGAAAATAGAGCAATAAATATTTCATTCATATGTGGATAAAATACTATTGATATGATATAGATAAGTCTCCAATGACACATTCTTCTCCATTAAGTTTTATTTCTATCTCCAATTGAAGCAGATCTGTTTAGTCATGACGATAATTTTTACAGGTATGTTTTGGGAGGAGATCAAGAAAATTTGGACCTGTTCAGTTGACGCCTGGAACAAGTGGGACCTACTGACTCTGCTGTGTCACATGACAGCTGTGGGCTGCTTCACAGGCGGCCTTGTTTCTATTCAAAGGGTAGAAAGCTTTTGTTATTTTTTGGCGAGCCTAATGGTACAGTATTGTGTGCAGTTTGCAAGAATTCTAGGAATTGTACAGAAATTTTTTTCCACAGGCATGGAATGTCCACAGGTATGTCTGGAATTTGAGACACTTTTATGCCCATACATATTCCGACAAGACATAGTGACGCCAGTTTTTATGTTTACCTTCACAGAAGGAAAAAAAAGTAGATAATAAATCATAATAAATCTTTTTTTTTTGCACTAGGACCCGAGTTTCTTGTTCTTCGCAGGGGAGTGGAACCCGTTCTTCATCGGAAGCTATCTGTTGGCGATAGCGGTGATCCTCAGCTTCGCCCGGTACACCAGCATGCTCATGTTCTCGGAGACTATCGGTCCGCTACTGCTGTCGCTGTACAAGATGGTCGGCGACATCTTCAAGTTCATCGTCGTGTTTGCCATCATCATCATGGGCTTTGCCTGCGCTCTACAACGCCTGTATAGCTCAGCTAAGCCGGATTCAGGTACATTGTATGTACACTCAAGCCGTTGCGAGCTAAAGCGACGGTCACAACCCGCCGTACGTGCTTCTGCGTGCTGTCTACGTGCAAAAACGTGGACAAACGTAGGGCATCCGTGCGTGGTGAGTATCGCCTCCGTACGGAATCCTACGGATTTTGGAGCACGCAGACACGCCGTAGAACTTTAAGTGCATGTAAAACTTTTTCTACGTGCGGTCTGCGGCTTCACCACCCGTGCGTGCGAGCGACGTGCGAGTGACGTGCGTAGACGCCACTCCTTCCCCACGTTTTCAGAAAAAACGTAGCAGACGTAGCCTTCCAACAAACGTACGGAGAAAAAGCACGTACGTACGGCGGGTTGTGACCGTCGCTTAAGTACATGATAGAGGTGTACCGGTACCTTTTACCGGTTCTGTACCAAAAAATTGATAAGGTCCAAAATACCTAGTCCCTCAGTACCCGACTGAGTACTGTATCTAAATAATTTCACACTAACTATATGCCTTATGTGTGACCTAAGATGAGTAAATAAGCTGGTTAAATTCAATAAACTGCTTTGCTAATACAGACTTTGCTGTTTCAGATTGTCTCTTGAAATTTTACCAAGCACTCCTACAGCAACGTGAAGCTAACAACACCGATGTCAAGTTAACTAAAGATGACTTCTGCTACTATGGAGACTTTTCACAGTATGTGGTATTTTTTAGCGAAAGATCAAGTCACATTATTCATAGAGAAAGAACTAATTTGTTGGTAATTCAATTTGGTGTTCTAGAAACAGTTAAAATTCTATTTATGCAATCTATTCCATCTATTTCGATACTGTGATTAACCCTTTCATTAAAGCATATTTTGATTGATGGAATACGTTGATTTGATATTGAAACAAAAGGATGGTATAAGGTGTTCGTACTTAATTAACTACGGATAAATGTTGAGTTGGGGATCAATAATGACGACCAATCACACAAAGACGTGCTTTCCACCAGTCACTTTGGTCTTCTTCAATAGACTGACCCAGTGAGACTTGTCACGTGGTGCCATCGTCACTTGGTGCCATCGTCACGTGGTGCCATCGTCACGTGGTGCCATCGTCACGTGGTGCCATAGTCACTTGGTGCCATAGTCACGTGGTGCCATAGTCACGTGGTGCCATAGTCACGTGGTGCCATAGTCACGTGGTGCCATAGTCACTTGGTGCCATAGTCACGTGGTGCCATAGTCACGTGGTGCCTTAGTCACGTGGTGCCTAAGTTACGTGGTGCCATAGTCACGTGGTGCCATAGTCACGTTGTGCCATCGTCACGTGGTGCCATCGTCACGTGGTGCCATAGTCACGTGGTGCCATCGTCACGTGGTGCCATAGTCACAAAAAAAATACAAAAAAAACAACAAATGTTATGTTTTCTCTTGTTTTCTCAATCTACACTGATACTAACATTTCTCCAAAAACATAATGAATCTGAGAAGTTGCATGATTTTTCTCCCCCCCCCCCCCAGTTTGCACCTGACCATTTTCTACCTGTTCTGGACGCTGTACGGGAAGTTTGAGTTCACCGACCTGGACGTGACGTCACCGAACGCCGTACAGTTCCCCGTGGTCTCCACCTGGCTGAGCAGAGTCCTGTTTGTCGTCTACATCACAACCTCCATCATCATCATGTTAAACATGCTCATCGCCATGATGAGTGACTCTTTT